TTTCTATCATAAATGGTAAAAATTATTATACTGTTTATCGTGCCATAATTGATAAAAAATAATATAATGTTTCTTTTAGCATAATTATAAAATATCTTTTTTATCATAATTGAAAAAACTACTATAATATTTTTCTATCATAATTACAAAAATATCTTTTTATCATAATTAACCAAAATCATATATATATATATATATATTATTACAACATACATAGTTACCTGATAAAATTTATTGACATTGATATTTACATGGACAGTTTCATTTTTTGACACGTAAGAAAATTCTTAAAATTTTTCTTTAAAATGACATATAAGATATTTACTAATTTTAAATTATATATCAAAAATATATATTTCAAAAATAATTGAATTATCTAAAATTTTAAATTATAAATAAAATATCAATTTAAATTTTAATGAAATTATTATCCCTATATCACCTCATCTCAATTTAAAATTAATTTTTAAGTAATTTAAAATCAAATCCAAATGGAAAAATAATTTAAGTAATTCTTCATTTTAAGCATCATTTTTCTTCGTCCTTTAAACCTATAAGCCTCTCTAACTATTCTTCAATTAAAGCTTTCAATGACGTGCTGTGTTTCTTTAAGTTTCTCAATTCCTCTCTATTCTTTTCAAAATTCATTTAAAGTAACTCCTCTTCGAAACCCCAAACCCTTTTATTTTTCAAAATTATTTCTCTTGAAGAATTGTTGTAAGAAATAAAAGTCTCATTTCTTTGTTAAATGTCTATAGCGCATGTAGTTGACCATCATGTACCATAGCAGGAAGAGGTAGACTGGGAATAGAATATGTCCCACATGGCATATAACCATAAGTTTGTTGATACAAGTAAGAGCCATTATAACTATAAAAATCCTATCAATAGACATTAAACTTATCAAATACATACTCAGTCTAACATGTAACTTAATGTAGATTGCAAAGTAAACCGACACAAAAATTTCAAATCCAAAATCCTTCAAAATGAAAATATTAGTAAGATCATTTAGTTAACCCATAGTCACCAAACAGAACATTAGCAACACCTTGACCTTCAGTCCCTAAAAGTCAAGTAGCTACAAATGCAACAATTGATGAAAGATAGGGTTGTATAACAATCGACTTGCCAAAGATGACCACAACAACACATTTCAATTTAAGTCTGCATTGATCAAGTGGATGATGATCTTGATGTTCTTAATGGAAAAACTTCAATTCAAGTTTACCAAGATTTCTATGAGAGCTTTAAGTTTGCATTCTCACATTTCATTGGTTCTACAATCACGGTAAGAAGTTTGCCTTCAAATAACGTGATCAAATAAGCCAATGTCTTAGACCCTCTTTTGGTGTAGTGATGCTAATGGCTTCTATATTGTGGTTTTTCAGGAAATCTCAATATGTTTGGGACTAGATGATGAGCTCCGTTATCTATCTCGCCACAAGCTTACCAAAAGTGGCATAATTACTGGAGTTGGGGAGTTCTAATGTTACGACCTCAACATGCTTAATCTTCTTAAGCAAGGTGTTGAAGTAAATGGAAATCCATTACGGGGACTAGATGGTCCACATGATGCACCCACTTATGATTAGTCATCCAACTCAAATAGCTTCTTCAAAGATCACGATGGATCATGAAAAAGTCCTTATGGTGACTTATTTCTTTTTAGGTATTCAAGTCAACTTATATCTCATTGAGATCGTATTCTCTTTCTTGAAAATTTGCAAAAGTTTAAATTTCTTTTATATAAACAATATCATTTATAATATATTATATATAAATTATCATTTAATTGTAACTTAGCATTTTTAAATATATGATTATATATTAAATTAATAATTTAAAATAAATTTAAATTTATGAAACATTTAATAAAAATTTGTATATGGGTTAAAAAAACTAATTATTATAATATTACTCCTAACATAATTAATTAAAATTATTGTAATATCTCTCACGCTATAATTACGAAAATACTTTTATAATTGTTTTATATTAAATTTTAACGTAATATAAAATTAATCATATATTAAATTATTAAAATAGCATTACCATTATTTTATAAAAATTTGATAGGTGACATTTTATGAAAATTACTATGACACTCTTATTAAATTACATATTAAATTAATTACATAAAACTTAGCTACATATTAAATTATTATAATAAAATAAAATTTAAAAAATATAATATTCAAATATAAATGTAGAAAGACATAACAAAAAAAAAGTAAATTATTTTTATTTTGTTTTAAATATTTTTACTAAAAGTTTATAAACTACAATAAATTAAAAGTTATACATTTGATTAAATAATTAATAAAAATTCAACTATCAAAATATAGTATAAAAAATTAACAAAAAACTATAATCGTAATATATGAAATACTATATATATTTATTTTAATATTTTTAATTTAATTTATTATTTTTATATTAAAATAATTATAAATATATTCAAAATAATAAATAATTAATAAATAAAAATAAATTTTTTTGACAAAAAAATAATTCACCCCTACGGACGAGGGTGTCTATCACTAGTAAAAATTATAAAAATGACTAAGTGCCACAATCTCAATACATATATACATATATATATATATATGTTTGCATATGTATATATGCACGTGCGATATTCTTTTAGGGAAAGTTACATTATTCATGATCATACACTGGACATTAATCCCTGCTAGTCATGCAGTTAGTTAGCTAATTACTCCATGTAGTGAACAGCACTTGTCCCTATCTCTTTGTCAATTATTGATGATTCAGCTTAGGATTCTCTCAGTGGGGTTGTGAAATGTGCAACGTCGATGGGCCACTCGCAGTAAATTATGATGTGAACTGCGAAGAAAGGCATATGATGAAACATTAGCGGAAGATGGAGTTTGGACTTTTAAGTTTAGAAGAAAAACATCCCATCTCGGCCTTATAGCTAGCTTTCTCGACCATAATTGTACTTACAGCTAGGTACGATTTTATTTATTATTAGTTAAATTAAAGTATCGATTTTAATAAAATTTATTCAATATAAAATTTTTATTAAAAATTTTTAATCAATTATAATTATAATAATTTTTATTATTAAATTTAATTTCATTAAAATTAATTTTATTATCCATTCAAATATATATCAAGACAAAAACATACCACTTTGGTCTGTAGCTTTCAATTGTCAAATTGTACACATTCATTGTACCATAATTACTCATATAAAGTATGTACATATACATATATATATGTATATGTATATGTACATATAATGTATACGTATGAATGAAATATACATACATATAAACATCACAAGTTAATTAATAACCCCTGTAGGTATACAAAATCACAAACACCTGGAGACGGTCCGCGCCGGAGAAATTAACTTTCACAACTTTTGTTTAGCTAATTCCGGCGTTCAAATCACGTTTTTTTTTTTTTTGGGTGTAGCGTGCAAATTAAGGTAATTAGGACCAACTGCAATAAATAAACATGGATAAATAATTTCATAAAAAAATCACACACCCATAAGCAAATTAAAGCTACTCAATATTTATAAAAAAAATTAATTTTTTATGAAATATTAAAATTTTAATTTTAATAAATAAAATTGAATTTCTAACGATTTTAAATATATACAAAAATACGGATATACTAGTCGATGACCAAGCAAGTCATGCGAGACCAATCGTTTTGACTGTCAAGCTGCTCAAATTCAATTTTCACCAACAATTTGTGTGGGCAATTGAGCAAGATCTAATTTATGGGCAAAATTGTAATAACAAGGAAAGTAATTAGATGACAATATCCTAATTATGGTACTTATAGCCTCCACGTCTTTATTTTACAGTAATGTTCTTTTGTCACTGAGATTCTTTTAATGAATGAGTCAGCGCTGGACTTTCATTGGGGTCCAATTAAAAAAAAAAAAAGAGACATGGACTTGTTATAACAATGTTGTTTATTGAATTGAACATTCATACAAATCTTGGCCTTATATAATGGAACCAAATTGAAAAGTTGAAGAACAACGGTTTATTCCATAATTAAGAATAATTCAGCATAATATTTATTTTTCAATTATAAATTCCCACATCATATTAACGAGGAGCATGATCCCATGTGGAATGAGTCAAAATTCAGACCCTCCCACCTCAACTCCATGCAATTTCCTCATTAAAAAAAAATTGAAAATAAAGAAACTAGCTTCAACCACTCATGATTTTTTCTAAACAATTGGAACTCAATTTAAAAAAATATATCAGTAAATAAAAATACTTGATTTTCAAATAAGAATAACATATGTTGTTATTGGTATCTTGTAAACATATAATGCAGTTTAAATTAATCTCAATCAAAGATTATTAAAAAGATTTAAATTGAAATTTTATTTTTTTCATCAATGGAGTAACTTTATAGTTAATAAAAATATTTACTACTATTATATTTCTATGAATATAAAGGAAAGAAGAAGAGATATTTGAGTATTATGTTATTAGTTTATATAATATGCATGTTGATTAAATTTATGAAAATTGAAAATTATGATTGAAAAAATTTAAATAAATAATGTTCTTATCAAGTGAATTTTTTAAAAAATGTTTTTATCAAGTATGGTAAGTAGATAAAAATTAATAGTAAAATTAAATTAAAAATTAAAAATAAAAGAAAAAAGCCTTAACAAGGGAAAGAAATGTTTTTATTAAATTAATGTTTGATCACTATGGTAAATATTGTAAAAATAAAATTATAAATGCACCAAATTAACTACTAATAAAATCTTGAGGAAAGGCGTAAGATCAAGCAACCGTCTTTAAAAAAATAAATAAATAAAGAAAGTGGAAGAAGTCGAAAGAAAAATCAAAATTTTTTATTTTTGAGTCTAAAAAGTCAATATGTAAAGAGATAAGGGAAAGCACGCTTTGGAAGAAGTTAAAATAAAAAAATAAAAAGTAAAAAAGTTGAAAGAGTGAGAGATGAGAGGGTCAGACTCGGACAGAAGCCAAGCGTGTTTGGTAAGGCGGCAGTTTGAGAAGGTACCGCTTAACCCCTCATCATGTCTTTTTCTTTTTAATTAAAAAAAACTATTTTTTTCAATTATAAAATAAAAAAACAAATTCAAACTCTCTTTCCCTTTCTTCCCCTTAATTCTCTCTTCCATTTTCTTGCATCATTAATAACAAACACCTGAAAACTATTTCTTTACTATTCTGATTTTCATTTTTATCCCCAAAAAAATAAAAGCTTTCGTATTTCATCTGATTTATTATTTTCAGCCATTTCAGAATTTTCAACCGTTTTTTTTATTTGATTACATTTGGAAGTTTGGTTTTGCTAGTTGATTCCTCCTCTTCCCAGGTCAATGTAGCTGGGTTTTTTTTTTTTTTTTCCCTAATTAGGGTTTTCATTTCAAATTTTAGGGATTTTGCTATCAAACTATTTAGTCCGTGAAGCTAGATTTTTTGTAATAATCGTCTTTTTATCTTTCCTGGGCTTAGATTGAAATCTCTAATTTTTGTTATTTTTTATTTGTAGCTTTATTCTTCCAAAGGTTTCCTTTTTCTTCTTCTTCTTTTGGGCAAAAGCCCAGATTTTTTTGTTTGACGTTTTTATCCCTGCTGATTATTGAAGAAAGCTAACATTTTTTTTAGTTGATCTGTTGGAGGCTTGGGGTTGTCAATTTGGTAAATCCGTTGAGTTTTGAGGGAGTATTTGGATTAGGGGGCAATAGATGCTGAATTTGACAAATCTGAGTGAAATTAGCTTAGATTAACCACTTTGTGGTATTGGGTATTATTGAAGAGAGTTGTTTTTGTTTGTTTGAGAATGGATCATGTGATTGGTGGTAAGTTCAAGCTTGGAAGAAAGATTGGCAGTGGCTCTTTTGGAGAGCTCTATTTAGGTATAATAATCCAAATCTCTTTGATAACTTTCTCTTTCTTTTATGGAAAATATGTATTGTTTCTTTGTCCGCATTGTGCCCTTTTTCCTGATTTTTTTTTTTGTTGAAGGGGTAAATGTGCAAACTGGAGATGAAGTTGCTGTCAAACTGGTATGTGATCTTTTCTTGAGGATGTGTTTTTGGTTGTGTTTCGTTGGTCTGCTGATGGACTGATTTCTAGCTGTGTTATTAGTAATGATGATTTTGGATCTTGAATACCTATAAATAAAGCAATCTTCTGTTTTTCGTATGCTTGCTTTGGTGGTTGTTTTCACCCCATTTATTTGTAGTCTATTGTCTCTCTCTTAAAAAAAATTTATTGGCAGTTATTCTTGCTTATCTTTTTCTGTTGTTTTAGTGGTACTAACCTTTGGACTTTATTGCATTACGTTTTGGACATTGACTAAAAAATGATCAGAAATATGCTCTTTAGTCATTGCTTTTTTTTTTACCTTAAAAAGAAAAGTGTTTATACTAATGCGCATCTTAATTTGTGTAAAGGAAAGTCATTTGTCCAAGACAGTGTTTGAATATCTAGCTATATTCAGCTTTACATGGTTCATCATTTAAAAATAAAGGCAAGAACATTTGTTGTTGCACTCATTTCCATTCTGAGAAGAAGAAAGTGTTTCTACACAAATGAAAAATTGAAATAACAAATTCATGCTAATTACTAAGCGTAATTTTTGAAGACAATTTATCAGCTTTGTATTTCCAAGCTGCACTTTTCTTTTCTTTATTTCCTCCTTTGGAATGAAGATGTGGTGGTGCACTTTACATACGATAATGTGTCATTTTAGGTGTGAATGTGAAGGGTGTGAAAATTTCCTATTCATGGTAACAGTGATGGGCAGAAAACAATTTTTTTATTTAATGGCATTTTATATTTTCTAACTTCCAAAGCAATGGCCTTGACCTATTTTTTTTTCTTCCTAATTTCAGGAATCTGTGAAGACCAAGCATCCACAGCTTCATTATGAGTCAAAATTGTATATGCTTCTTCAAGGAGGAAGTAAGTCTCTGCCTCTGCTTCTCTCCCCCCCCCCCCCCCTCTTGCTGTCTTGATAAATGATTTGATCCTACATAACTTGACTATGGTCTTCTCTGGGTAGCCTTTTCCACTGGACTACCATCATACGAGAAAAAAAAAAAAAACCAGAGAAAAACATGCAAGCTCTTGTCTGATGGAAGTCAGTAATTTCTTTGATTTATAACTTCTTAATCGGTCTTCATTCAATTTGCTATTGATCTTGGTATCTGCTGGTTTAGAAAGAGAATAGTGGGTCTTCTTTCCTTTTCATAATATTTGCACTATCAACTTAGTCTTTAAACAATTTGTTCAGCATGCAATTACAAACCTTTCTCTGGACATGCTGGCAGGTTGATATTTAATCTTGAATACTCTGATGCTTAGTTTTTTTGGATAAATTTTTAAAAGGCACTTTTTTTATCTTTAAATAACTTGGTGAGTTTCTCCTTGATACAGCGGGAATTCCCCACCTCAAGTGGTTTGGAGTTGAAGCGGATTACAATGTCATGGTAATCGACCTTCTTGGACCTAGTCTAGAAGATTTGTTCAACTGCTGCAACAGGAAACTTTCATTAAAAACAGTGTTGATGCTTGCTGATCAATTAGTAAGTACATGACCTTTTTGTGATAAAGAATTAGTTTTGAGTTCTTTCATATTTAATGTTCTCCCTTTTCAATATATTTTTTTTCCAGATTAATAGAGTAGAATATATGCATTCAAGAGGTTTTCTTCACCGTGACATAAAGCCTGACAACTTCTTGATGGGCCTAGGACGCAAGGCAAATCAGGTATTAGTTATTGTGTTTTCTTGTATGATATGTTGGCAATATACCACACGCATACTCATTAGACTGCTAGCACTGCCACCTTCAATTTTGAGTTTCTGGTTATGATAAGAATATTATTCCATTTCTGAGAATAGGACTCTATGACACTTGAAAAGTATGAAATATTGTGGTATCATTTTTTGTTTTTAATTTTTTTATTACAGGTATATATCATTGACTATGGTCTTGCAAAGAAGTATAGGGATCTTCAGACTCATAAGCACATTCCGTACAGGTGATTTTTTGTCTTTTTTGTTTGACTTCTTAATGCAGAAATTCAAACTTGAATATCTCAAAACTGTATAGTTCTCATCATAATACATGACTATTGAGTTAAGATAGTAGATAAGAAAGTTACTTCATGGTCTATATACTTCTTTTCAGCTGGGTGTTTGCTTTACTCATGGATGCAAGTTATATTGCTTTGGCATTTTGTGCAGTTTGAGGAAGCTTTTACTGAAAGTTTTGTCAGCCTTTTGAACCCTTGTAAATAAATATAACTCCAAAACTTGAGGCTATGCTCATATCTCATGCTATTTTTTCTTTCGATGCCATTTTGTTAGGCATTCCACCATGCACTGCTGCCTCAGTGGGGTGAGGTCAGTCTGACTTGATGGAATTGACTTTGATATGGATAAAGGTCTCTTTTGCTTTGGGTGAATTTTGAACATGGAGTGGTTTCTTTTACTCTTGACTCTTAACTGGTTTTATAAAGATTACATACTGCCACTCAAATTTACTCGTTTTCAATATACTAATGCTTAATTATCTTTGATGCCCATCCTACTTTGCTTTAAAATTTAAACATCCATTCTGATTATCACTCTTGCGCTCTCTCAGTTTTCCTTCTTTACTTATTACCTCCTGTCTTTGTATTAAGTTTCTACTTGGTAAAGATGTACTGAGTATTTGGTGCAACCTAGTCCCAAATGGATTTGTTGGTGAAAACAACTGATCAAATTCTTTGCTGCAGAGAAAACAAAAACCTCACAGGAACAGCTCGTTATGCAAGTGTGAACACTCACCTTGGAGTTGGTGAGTCATTTTACTTTGTGACACAACTAGTTGCAGTAAATCATATATCATAGATGTAGGTTTACTTCCTGTTTCTTTTATTAACATACATTCTTTTCTTTTACTGGTAGAGCAAAGCCGAAGAGATGATTTGGAATCCCTTGGTTATGTGCTTATGTATTTCCTGAGAGGAAGGTTGTCTATATAGTGGCCTCATGCTCATTCATTCAATGTTTTATGCATTTCCAGATGATATTTAATTGTTTCTTGTTACTGAATCTTTATTCTTAGTTTTCTTCACATTGATTTTGATTCAATTTGCACAATTTCTTTGCTTCAGCCTTCCCTGGCAAGGGCTAAAAGCTGGCACAAAAAGGCAAAAATATGATAAGATTAGTGAAAAGAAGGTATCAACTCCTATAGAGGTATGATAACTTTCACCATCCTTAGACAAATTGTTTCCCTTCAAGAAATTTGGTTGAGTTACTAATCTGATGTAGGAATTGCTAGTGCTTGTAAACAGGCCTGCTCTTCATCTGTATGCGGGCCAGGCTTGATCTTTGTATTATCCCTGCCCATTTTTATGGAATGTTTGATCATTACTATAAACTTTTTAAAGCAATTTGAATTCTTTTATGGCACATTTTTCCTCATGAATTGCTGTTTCCATAAATGTTTTTGAGAGTAAAAAGTTCCCTATTTGTTTGAGATAAGTCTAATGTAAAAGGGAGGAGAATTAAATTCTTTGGGTTTTGTTATAATGAAATTTAATTTGGCTTGATTAGCAAATAGAAAGCGTGATGTATAAATTTGACAAAGGGAATGCATCTATTAAAGCTAAGTTATGGTCGGCATGTGGTACCAAAATTCAGTGTTAATCCATCTTATGATTGTTATTCTTGTTTCCTTGTTCGGTAATGTTGGTGTATGCGCATTTAACAGGTGCTCTGTAAGTCATATCCATCTGAGTTTGTGTCATATTTTCACTACTGCCGTTCTTTGCGGTTTGAAGATAAACCAGATTATTCATATTTGAAGAGGCTTTTCCGAGACTTGTTTATAAGAGAAGGTTAGTTATCATCATAATAATGACCTTTGTATATATAGTACTCTTTTATTTGTTACTCTCTTTATCTCTCTTTAACACACACACACATACTCAGAGGATGTTATTAAATTAATTTCTTCATGGAATCTCAAAGTCAGTTTTTTTTCTTTATTTGGTTAAAGAAGCTCTCATTGCTGCAGGTTATCAATTTGACTATGTCTTTGACTGGACTGTATTGAAGTACCCACAGATTGGTGGCAGCTCCAGAGGGAGAGTAAGTACTTCTTCACTTCTAGCTCTCGGTTACTGTCATCTTGGGAATATCACTCAGCTTTTCTATCTGTTTCTCAGCATTCCAGTGGAAGAGCAGGTCTAGCTGCAGGGCCAGCCATTGAAAGACCAGAAAGAATATTGGGTCTGCTTTCTTTTAACCGAACTATATTTCTCATTAGATAGTATAATCATACCAGATTCCTGGAACTTAAATATTTGATAGTCAACTATTTGGTTTAGAAGATGGTCATTTGAGTTTATCTAAAAAAATTGAGGAAAAAAAAAAAGATGGCGACTAATATAATGGCAAAAATTATACAATGCGGATGAGTACAATTTTTTTGCAGTCTTCTTCAAAAAAAAAAATGCTTTAACTATTATAATGTTATACTAACCTCTTTGTGTTCTATCTTTGGAACCTCTAATGGGTTATTCCCGTTGACAACAACATTCAGTGGGAAGAGAGATTCGGGATAGATTTTCTGGTGCAGTTGAAGCATTTTCCAAAAGAAATGTTTCGAGTACTAGTCCTCGTCATGAACATTCTCGACACAAGACTGCTGAGGATGTAACTTTGTCAAAGCATGTGGTGAGCTTTAATATCCATTCAAACATTTTGTTTTATCAGCCTTTACATCTGTGTGTGAAAATCTTTTTCTAAAAATGAAATCCTACTAACTTTAAAGGTTCTCAGCCACCAATGTCTTTTTCGGCTGTATTATAGCTAAGCTTTGGACCCACTTTTTGTCCTATTTTATGAATGTGAAGTTAAATATCACAACCTATACCTGTTGCCGTTTTTTTAATTTTTGGCCAAGTAATGATTTTGTTCAAGTCATAACACTAGAATGATATGTTCCCATTTCCAACATTCTGATCTTTGGTTTGCTATTTCAGCCTCCTGATTCGGATAAAAGACGCAGTTCTTCTCGATACGGTAGCACTTCAAGGAGAGCTGTTGCCGGCATCCCAAATTCATCAGGTGAACCCAATGATGCTCTACAAAACCGACTGGTGCCAAGTGGTGGTCGCGTGTCTACAACACAAAGAATCCAACTTGCCGTTGAGTCCAAAACATCTAGTCGTGCTGCCCCAGTTAGAGGAAGCCGTGATGATCACCCTCTTCGAAGTTTTGAGCTCCTCTCGATTAGGAAATGATGGAGCAGTAAAACAATTGTAGGCTGATGTTCTTATGAACTTGTAATCTCAAGTGTATAGGGGATATCACCCAGATTCAATGCCACAACAACTTGTGACTTCCTTTACCATATTGCCAAACCACCCCCCCCCCCTCCCCCCTTTTTTAAGAGTTTATGGCCATTGTAACGTGTTTTCGACAGCATGAAAGAGAATTCATTCATCGGAATTTTAATGTTATATGCCACTTCAGTGCCTGCAACTCCAGCTAACTTCCTTGGTTAGCAGAGGGGCCTGTACCCAGGCCGGAGGTGAGTACCTAACGAATTTTTTCCCCTTTTCCTCGCTTCCCAGCAATATTTTCAGGATTTACACATTACTCAAATGGATACCATCCAAATGGGAATCAAAGTTACGTAACCTATGTCTCACCTTCTGGAAACGTGAATCATCACGTCGTATGTAGACAATAAAATTACAAACTCAGAGAGATGATAATTGTAGGGAATAACTCAATAGATTAATGAAGGAAAAGCTGGAGTTTTCTGTCTTCAGCTCATGGATTTCTAAGAGCTGCCAACCGGTTCTCAAGCTCATCAACACCCGAACTGCAAGAAGGAATTAAAAATTAGCAAACAAAACAAAAATAATTCAATCTCTTTCAGGAAACAAATTCAAACGGTGGTTTACGAGGGCCAAAATTTCAAATTTTTGGCTAAGTCCGAATAAAAAAAAAAAAAAAGATATAACAAGTCGCATATTATTGTAAATATACCTGCCAACACCTTCGGTATTCTTTCCTGCAATTCTACCTTTAGGAGCTGATGATAACTGCGAAAATTTACATAGACATCAGACGATTGCAAAAACTATGATATTTGGCTCACAAGAATCCCAAAATGAAGGGGAAAAACGCAAAATACCAACCTGAGTGGCAACATCAACACCAATTTCATCTAGAACCTGAAGAAAAGAAAATTAAAAATGGTCACTATCAGTTCTTTGTTTTGGAATTTACAACAGTCAAACAATGGACTTAACCTATTGCCCTGCCCAAGAAAATTTGTCCGAGCCCCACAGAAGCACCCAAAAGCCATCCTTTCACCAGCTTTTTAATTTACCCCATCAGCCCCACACCTAAACGGCTAAACCTTACGATCCAACCTCCCCCCTCCAACCCTTTTTTCTCAAAAAAGAAAGAGAAAGAATCAAACCTGATTCGTTAGGTCCTCACTCTCATCTTCCACCTCATCATCATCCAGAACATCATCTATAGCATCTGACATCATTTCAGTCTGCAAGCACAAATGCTAGACTGTTAAATTCCATGCATATGAACTAAAAACTCAAACATGAACTCTTTTCCATATTTCTATATTGTAAAAGACAAGTATCATCTTACGGTCATATCCATCTGTGCAGACTGCTTCTGAAATTCCCGTATAACCTTCACTTGTTTTTCAGGGGCCATTTGCTGCAATGAAATCTCAGTCATCAGCAGTTTAAAATTCAAGGATTATTTTGAAAGTGGAAAATGATTCTAAGATTGTGTTCACGCTGATGTCCATAACACAAACATGTAATAGTGATATATCTATGGATGTCTACATAGGATATAGATATCCACCAACAGTTAAGGGGAACAATTTGGTAAACGGGTTACTAAGGACAAAGATGAATACAATCCATACCATCATCCATGTAAAATGAAAATTAACGTATGTATCATATAAAATTATTACTGACCTTATTCATAGCTGACATTGCCTTGGTGGCACCTTTCATGCCAACGGCAACTGAAGATTGAGCATGCATTGCCTATAAAAAGAAACAAGCATTGCTAGAAGCACAATGCAACAAACTCACCGGTAATGCCAAAACCTAGATGAAATAGCAGAGGGAAAGAGAAGGAGGGAGGGATGTGCACCTGCGTATGAGTTGCAATGCCTTTCATTTGAGCTCGACTACTCTGTAATTTAGTTATCTGCTGCCTAAGCCTGACTAGCTGCCGGGCTAGAGTTTTAGTTGCTGTCTGCACAATGTATATGGGAAAAAGGGATAATTTAAACAGGTTTAAGCATGCAAGGTAAATGAACTTGGCACTCAAATCTCTAGGGAGAGACATAAATGCAATAAAATTACTATGCTAAAAATACCTCATTTCCGGTTTTTGCAGTTCTTTTGATTTCAGCAACAAGTTTCTTTTCCTGCCATTACGATAAATCAGGTTAAAACCCACTTACAAAATCCTCAAAAAGACCATCATCAGTTGGTACTTGGATGTACCTCTAATTGTAGGGCTCCTATTTCCTTCTCTATACCTGAATCGAGGCCAAAAGCATACCTGAGTTTCAGATCAAAGTAATGCTCCAACTCCAAAATCATATACACACACACACACAGAGTGGGAGAGAGATACGGAAACATAAATTAATTTAATTTAATTAAAAAAGGATAAGGCCAAGTTGTAGGGAAAATAGTCAAATATTACCTCTAGTAGCATGAGCCATTTCTCTCTTACTCTCACGAAGAGCGTCTGCAAATCTCCAAAAAATAATAATAAAGTATAGTAACAAACTAAGAAACCATGATCGTTAAGCTTTCACAAGTCAACGCGAACTGTAACCATAGATTTCTTTTTTAAAAAAAAAAAGTCACCAGAAGCATGTAAAATTTGATTGTTCCAGAAGATGAACATTGAATTGAAGATAATTAAATATTTCCAGAAAAAAAAAGTTTGAGATTGCTTGATCGTATGATTGGGGCACAAAATAAATCGCAATTAAATTACCTTTGGGATTGGGCTTTTTGCTGAAGATGCTCATTTTCCTTTTTTTTTTTTTCCTTTGTTTGGTGATTTCAAATGGCCTTTTCGGTAGAGGAGGTTTTGGAGATATCTTTACGGGAACAAGAAAAACAGTGTTTGGTTCCAATGCGGGAGAAGTTGCCTGGAAATTTGCGGGCTTTTTCTTGTCTCCGGCCTTTTTAAATATTTTATATTATTATTATACTTAATTAGTGGACCTATTACAAATTGGGGCTTAAATTCCTTGTAAATAACTGAAACCTTCCTCTGAAATTTTAAAGTTTGCAATGAGGTTCTCATAAATCTCATTTTACTCCCCACTAACAAAAAAAAAAAAAAAAACAATTAGCTATTTAAAGTCCGAATACAATTTTGAATTGGGACATGAATATACTTGACCAGTTGAGCTAGTGAAAAAGACCTTTAATCAAGAAATACACAAAAGTAGATTACTTTGTTTAAATGATAATAAATACTCTAATAAGTGTGAAAATCATTGAATTGCAAAAATAGCGATCCGTGTTATCATTTTCAATATTATTATTATGGTATAAATTTTTTTAATATACGTGAAAATAAAAAAAAATTAGAGAGAATCAAAGAAAAAAATTTAAATCGAAACCAACCAGCTATAATAAGACACAAATGAAGCATAATTTAAATCGAAACCAACCAGCTATAATATAGAAGGAAATCCAACGGTCAAGCATAATTTAAAATTTATATTAACATAAAAAATAATTTCGTCAGCAAAGCGGACAAGAATTACGGATGATGTGACATTTAGTCAAACCAAGTAGACCGTATAAATATACGTATCTATATTTTCACCTACAAGTACAATGCACTGAAACACTCCACTCCACGCGCTTCGCTGCTTTCTTTCGACCTTTCGTCCTCCGCAGCTCTTTCCGTTTCCTTTTTGTCTCTCCACTCCCCATTCTCTCTCTAAGAAAGTACCCATAAAAATAATAATATAATAATAAAAACTCTGTATTCTCTACTCCTCTTTTTCTTCCTTCTTTTTTTTTTTTTTTTAAATCCGAACCGCAAGCAGATGGAAAGTGTTCTAAGGAAAGTGATTTCTATTTTTTTTATTTTTATTTTTTCTTGAAGACAAAACAGGTTAAATTTTCTTTCGGGAAGTTTCCAAGAATTTGGTATTTCAGTTTATTCATTACTCGACAGTTAGGGTTTCTGGAACGGCGTGAATTAAACGGTGACTTTTTACTTCCGGTGAAGAAAAGATTGTGCAGTCTTTTTCCTTAACAATTGGGTGCAAAATTTTTTCTACTGTTTCGTCAATTCACCTTAGAATTTGGAAGCGCATTTTGTCCTCGTTTAGTAAGAGAAATCTCGAAAGCAAAGTGGCGTTGGTTTCTTTTGACTGTTGCATTTGAAGAATTGAAGGAGTTAGGGTTTTAGAGTGGTTGAATTTGTTTAGCCTGGTTGATGTGGTAGGCGAGATGTCGTTATCTATAAAAATGGAAATTGATGCACTGGAAGATGTTACTTGTTTGGACCCCGAGCTTTTGCAGCTTCCTGAAGTGTCTCGATTTGCACTAAAAACCAGTCCTCAACTTGTCGAGGACTTGTTCTCTCAATGGCTTTCGCTTCCGGAGACCGGCCATCTGGTACTTTTTTTTAATCGAACTTTTGTTATTATTGATTTCTTAGTCTTTCTTTAATAATTTATGTATATTCGATTTTGTTTTCGACTTTAGTTGGCTGCCTATTGTTGAATTTAATGTCTAATGCTGCTAATTGTTGCCATTTGAAACTTATTTTATTTTAATTGAAGTTCACGCGAATTAGTAATATGATGATGTCTTTGAAGCTGACTGGTGATATAAACCTTATGATCAGTGTAGGTTTCTATGAATGAATGGATGGTCAAAAAGACATGCACACCAAATAAAATCCATATGAAAACAAACAAAATTAAGTTATGAGGATTGGATGAGTATAAAAACTGGTTATTTCAAGGGACTTATCACATATGTAACTTAAACATTTAAAAAAAGGAGTTGAACATTATTGATACTTTATCATTCTGTGTGATGGATGGGGACTAACTGTTGTTTATGATGTCACTTAGGTTTTTTAAAAACAGTAAACAGAGGGGAGCAAATGGGTGCAAACGGAGATTTATTGCAACCAAGAACAAACACCTCTGTCATTCTGACTATTAGTCATAGAGTAACTTATTTGGTAGTTTTGCGCTAGTAAATGCAAGTTCTTGATTTGCACCATGTTAATGTCATAGTAGGTGCTACAATGAAAGTGCACAGGATGGTTATATGGTTTTTAGTAATTTGCTGTGAAAATTGCTATTGTATTTTGCTTCAAGATATGGACACATATCTTAATCTTGCGGGTTGGAATTTCACTCTAGGCTCACCTAGGATGCTTAAAACTATAAGGATGAGTTCCACAGGCTCTGAACTACTGTAAGATGTGTAAATCTAACTTGTATTCTACCCTTCCTTTGTTTTAGAGAAAAAAGGGGAGGGGTTCAAGACTGCATGTATTACATATAAATTTCTGGTAGAAATTTGCAAGATTTTGTATTTTTTAAATGGCTATGGTAGGAATAATTTTTACGTTCCTTAATGACTGAATCTGATAGAATACAGCACTATGACAAGTTAGAAACTTTTCTGCATTTAGATTCGTCTTCTTTTCTGTTTGCTAGATTTTCCTCCACTAAAGATTCATCTATATCTGCATATGGATGTTTTGTCATGCAATGAGCTTTCATTTCTCCCTTTTTTAACATGAGTGCAGGTGAAATCTTTGATCGATGATGCAAAAGCAGGGACCAAAGTGAATGCCTTTGCAAACTTTACTAATGTAAATGCTGTTGGGAGCAATTCATTGCCTTCCATGTTTTCGAGTGGCAGTGCTCCTCCACTTTCTCCAAGAAGCTCATCTGGTTCTCCTCGCACATCGAAGCAGAAGTCTAGCCCATCAGCTCTTGGCTTTCCATTGAAATTAGTTAGGGAACCAACTCAAGAAGTCATTCCACAGGTTTGATTTGCTATTGAAAGTCCTCTTTGGACTATTGTTATATTTAAAGCTTTCTTAGATTGGAAATGTTGGTTTTAGGTTTTACTACCCAAAATTGCTGAAAAGTACTTACAATAAAGTTGTTTGTCTGATAATTGCTTGCAGTTTTATTTCCAAAATGGTCGTCCACCTACAAAGGAATTGAAAGAACAAGATCTTTCTAAAATTAACGACCTTTTTAATAATCCTCTAAATGGATTGCAAATAGATGGTGAGATATATATTTGATCTTTAATGTGTTCATTTTATATTTTAAGTTGTTTTTTCCCCTTCACACATTATCTTCTGGTGATTAAGGGTGAAAAAATCCCCTTGAAACTTTGAAGGAATTAATGCTTTTTCTCTGGTTATGCAGAGTTTAAAACAGTGACAAAGGAAGTTTGCAAGCTACCATCTTTCCTTTCTTCTGCACTTTTTAGGAAGATAGATGTAGATTGCGCCGGAATAGTGACCAGGTATAAGCTCTATGCATGTTTATAGATGAATGGATGTTTTATGTGTAGGAATTACTCTGACTGCTTAAACATGGTCTGTCGAAAGCACTTGGTAGATGGTGTTGGCTGTTTCTTCTTTCAATAAGTGCTTCCATCATACATTCTTAAATTTATCATTTGACTTCAGAGATGCTTTCATCAAGTATTGGGTTGATGGCAACATGCTGACAATGGATTTGGCAACTCAAATATTTGAAATTCTTAAGCGGCCAGGCTGCAAGCACCTCACTCAGGTTTTCTTTTTTGTGTTTGCTCTGAAAAAATTATTTTGATTAGCTGTTCTTCTTCTGTTAAAATTATCCTTTCGAAGGCCTAAAGTTGTATGTATTTCATACTTTTCTTCATAAGATCATTTGGGACTTGGATGCAGGTTGACTTCAAACCTGTTCTTCGAGAGCTTTTGGCAACCCATCCAGGATTAGAATTCCTGCGAAACACGCCTGAATTTCAAGATAGATATGGTATGTATTTTATTAATTGTGAGTTATTTTAATAAGTGACTATGAAGTAGTGAACTTTATTTCCTTTTTTTCATATCTTTTTTTTTTAATTATTTATGTGGAAAGCTACATTGATATTTGAACATGCAATCTGCTAGCTAGTTTGACTGGTGTATTATGCCATGGATTGATATAATCTCAAGAGTGGTGATGTGGACTGGTGAACATCATACGCTCATAATTTACCAGGAACTATATGCATAGTATACAGCATATGGTGTTAACCTGTTGATTTTGTCTAATGTTCTGATAGGCTCCTTGAACCATATTTCTTTGGTTCTTTCTCTTCTTTAGAAGAAATTACAATTAAATTTTGCAAGGTACCATGTCAATGAATTTTCTGAATGACTTTGACTGAAATTGCTAATATAATTGGAATCTAAACTGAAGCATTGCGCAAGTGGGATTGACATGCACTCAGAACATGGTTTGATTGTTTTGAGTTTCAACACCAACCAATTCATGCATTCTGATTTTGGCTGAATTTGTTTGTGCTGATTTTATAATTTCCTGTGGAAATCTCAGCAAAAAGCAGCTTGATGGATCTTGATCCTGATGATAAAATGTAAATGCAGATCAGTTATCAAATGAGAAATGTTTAGTAGGTGAAAAGTTGCATAAAGCTCTCAATTTATCAAACTCAATAACGTTGAGTATCTATAAGATAAATCCTGTAGTTAAACAGACTGCGCTGTTCCACCATGCATCAACTTTTATTTTGGAGTTTTTTTTTAATTTTTTCCTTTCCCCATTTGTTAACACATGTCAACCTTTTTTTTTTTTTTTAACTTTTTGCTTTTTAAAAATATTTTCATAATATTTTTTAATTTTTTTGTAGGGCTCACCTTTTAAAATATTTTTCGTAGGGTCCACTTTTTTTATTTTTGTATATTTAATAAATAATTTTTCATTTTTTATTTTTTAGAGACTCACTTGATATCAAGGGCATGTTGTGTGTTAACCCATTTGATTCATTTCTTTCCCTTATGCTTCTTTATATTTTATTTACATTTTTTTTATTTAATAAATATTTTGCAAATACTTTAAATTTTTTTAATGTTGGGCTATTTGATATTATTATTAAAATATATTTTTTGTTACTTTTTTTTTTAATTTGATAATTTTTTAGGAAATAAAAATTAATGTAGGTATAACGTCACATCCAGATTTGATTTTTTTTCAATCTTTTCTTTTTTAGTCTTTTTTAGTTTCTTTTTTTAAAAAATCCATGATCTAAAATTTTCAAAAAAATATTTTTCTCATTACTGATATTATGTGTCAACTCAATTTCTTCATTTTTTTTTGTTGTCTTTTCTTTTAGCATTTACATATATGTATTTTATTAATAAAATTATTATTTAATATCTTAATTTAATAAAAATATTGTATTTATAGATAATTAAGATGTAACCTATCTATCTATCCACTATATAAATTTGACTGATTTTGAATTTTGTTTGATCTTTATTCAAGGTCTCAATGTACCACCCTATGTTTCATTCTTTTTTTATTTTTTTAAGATTTTTTTTTAAGTTTAAATAAATTTTGTGAAAAAAGCCAATGTACATGTTTGCGCATCATTTCAATTTGTTTTTTTTTTGTTTTGATTTTTCTTAATTAGATAAATTTTACAACAAAAAAAAAAAACTATCTACATAGGGGTGAGAAACATATTAAGAAAATTGAAAATTGATTCAAAATTATAATAATTTCGACTCGAATTGATTTTTTTTATTCGGTTCGGATTAAGTACGGATATTAAATATATATTATATTTTGATCAAATTTTGAGTTTGAAAGTGAAAATTGAAAAATAGAACTAAAACAAATTATATATTTTTATTAACTTTTATATATTTTTTAATTTTTTATAAAATAAAAATAATTACTTTATATTTAAATTTATTTAAATATATTAAAAATTATATTAAAATAATGCATAAAAAATTAAATTTAAAAAACTGATGAATCGAACTGAACTAATTTTGAAACAATAGAATTTGTTCAAATTGATTTCATAAAAAGGTCGGTTCAAATTTTGATCGGATTTTAAAAATTCATAATATTATATATTATCTGAAAAAATTGAACCGAATTTGATCAAATTAAAACTATTATCACCCCTAATAAGAATTGCAAAACAATTTGTATCTAATAGGTTCTAATTCAATTAGGATATACATATAGTATTCCAATGAGTTTTCTTTTTTTTTTCCATTTAAAAATTTTTCTCCTTTTTTGTTTCTTTTTTTTTCCTTTTCCTTCTTTAGGTCTTTTTAATAAAACTTATTTTGTAAAAAAAAAAAAAATGAAGGTGTTCACTTAGTACCTCATTTGGGTTTTTTTTTCTTTCATATTTTTTTATTAGATAACTTTTACAACGAAAGGTGTCAATTGATAGAAATACTAAAACAATTTATATCCAACGGGTTTTGATCTATTTCAATCTGATGAAAGGTGATTTTTTAAAATTAAGATTGAGTTGGGACAGCTCGAGTTTTAAAAAAAAAAAAATCAAGTTGGAAGGTTGTTTTGGGTATTCATTTGGAGGTATATATAAAAAAATATTTTTTATTATTTATTTAATTTTATATATATATACGTATTATATTAATAATATTTTTTTACGTTAATATAAAAAATTAATATTTTAAACTCAATATGGGATATTAATGTGGCACCCTTTATGAGTTTTTTTTTTCCTTTTTCTCCTTTTTTAAAATTTTTTCCCATTTACACAATTTCCATTTTTTTCAAATTTTTTTGTTCTTTGCGTTTATTTTTTTTATTCGATTAATTTTATAAGAAAATTAGACTAATTAAGATATTCATATTTCATTCATGTTTGTTTTTTTTACCTTTGGTTTTTTCTTTAATTAAATATTTGTTAAAAATATATATATAATTAATAGAGGTAGCAAAACAAAAAAATTTTAAGCCGTGGCAATGCGTGGGCATCTTTCTAGTAATTAATGAGGAATGCATAAAGAACAATAACTAGGAGATTGTATGCAGTTTTTGTGAAATAAGTGTAATTAAGGGCTAAGTAAACAAAGATTCTAATGATGGCCATCATTGTGCTTGATTCTTCAGACAACATTTTTGCTTCAGAAATTTTTACCAAATGATTTAAATTAAAGGAGAAAAAAAAGAGGGGGTGTAGGGGGATTATTCCCTTTGCGTAGTCAAGCTGAAAAAATGCTTTAAAAAAAGTTGATTGATTGTTGTAGTCATTTAAGGGGGTACCATGGATCATTTCATTCATTAATGTATTTTTTTGTTTCTTCGATCATCAGACCAAAAAAGAAATCATGATATGTCGTAGTTTTGAATCTTCTTGTGCTACTGATTTTTATCAAAAATAACATTTTCATCTACTTCCTTAACCTTTATATCATTTGTTATTACTTGCATTCATGTCTTTCATGATCTATCTCTAGAAGTTTTGGTGTCTCCCAAATTCAAAAGCTCATTTCTCTTAATTGGTACACAAATAGATTTTCGTTTCACATGTCCAAACCATAAATTTCTTTGTTATGCATAGATACTGCATAACTGATACCAGAAAACATAATTTATTTTTTAATGTTTCAGGTGAAACTGTCATATACAGAATATTTTATCACCTCAATAGATCAGGAAATGGTAGTCTTACCCTCAGAGAGCTCAAACGTGGAAATCTGATTGCTGCCATGCAACATGCAGATGAGGAAGAGGACATTAACAAAGTCCTTAGGTTAGTATCCAGGTGGACCTTTTTAGAATATATGTTATTTTATTGAAAGCAGCAGCACACAAATCCTTACACAGTAAACAGTAATTATGTAAACTGAGACCACAGTTTCTCTCAACTATTTTTAGTTGGTCGGTGAAAGCATGGAAATTCTTGCTCTTTTCTCTTCTGAATGGTCAGTAAACAATTGAACATTGTGGAGAGCTTGGGTTTATTAAATTTTTTGTTTCATGAATTACTAATGCTGTAAATTACGCAACCTCTTTGCTTCCTCTTCTAGGTTCTTTTCATATGAACACTTCTATGTTATATACTGTAAGTTTTGGGAGTTGGACACAGACCATGATTTCTTCATCGACAGAGAAAACCTCATCAGATATGGTAATCATGCCCTTACCTACAGGATTGTTGATAGAATCTTTTCACAGGTTGGTTTGCCCTGGTCATTAGTTCTCTAAACTTCTGAATCAATTAGACTCTATTTTCAAGTACAATAAATCTTTTCCTACATATGAGGTTTTCTTTGGCTGTGAATGCATGAATTCCATCTCAGGCTCCACGGAAGTTTACCAGTGAGGTAGAAGGGAAGATGGGTTATGAAGACTTTGTTTACTTCATGCTCTCAGAGGAGGACAAATCATCTAACGCTAGTCTTGAATATTGGTATCTTTTTTTTTCTTTTTACCTCTCATTTTCCACAATAGATTACACTACTGAGTTTTGCTTATTTGAAGTGAGTTGGATTCTTGTTGTTCATACAGTTTGAAGTCAAGTAACTCCTTGTTAATTCCCCACCTTATTCTTAGGTTGACATTTGGAGGTTTTAAATTATTTCTCTTGCAAATTTCCTTTTATTCATCATATCAAATTAACATTTAGTTTGCAAGAACAATATCAAACCTTGGCTGGTTTCAGGGCATTGACCATTACTTCATCCTTTTGAAAATGCAGGTGAAGCTAGAAAAAATGTTATATTGTTCTTCAATAAGATAACAATGCACATGGTGCAATGCACCTATTCCTTATGTAAACAAATGCTGAAAATGCTTTGGATGCTTTATGATCTCTTAAGAATGGTTGTGTTTCATTTTCTGTACTTGGACAATGCCTTAAAAGTAAGGGAAGGGGAACCAAGGGGAATGATCTGTAATACTCTAAAATGTCCTGCTGTTTTTTAAGAATATCAGCATTGTTGTCATGTAGTTTCTCTGGCATAAATGGTGCATTATTTTGCATGCTACATTCCTTGCTTTTGTTTGTAGAACAGAAAACTTTTAGCGTTCTCCTCTTTTGTGCCTTATATCTAAGGCCTTTTTCCCTCATCTACTAGCTTAGCTTTCCACATCTAATTAGTTATTTTTACAGGTTCAAGTGCATAGATTTGGATGGCAATGGTGTGCTCACGTCAAATGAAATGCAATTTTTCTATGAGGAGCAGCTGCACCGAATGGAATGCATGGCCCAAGAACCTGTGCTCTTTGAGGATATATTGTGTCAAATAATTGACATGATTGCAACTGAGGTTAAAGATACTTTCATTCTAATAACTATTATTTCATTGTACTTGTTTGTTGCATGTGAAGATGATTTTAACTCGCTGATTTTTTGCAGAGAGAAGATTGCATCACGCTATGGGACTTGAAACGGTGCAAACTTTCAGGAAATGTTTTTAACATCCTTTTTAATCTTAATAAGTTCATGGCATTTGAAACCCGTGACCCATTCCTCATTCGGCTGGTTAGTGATTGCACAATTAGATTTTGGGTGCTGAATGGATGCTAATTTAGTTCTCTGGAATGACAAAAGCCTGCTTGGATTTTTTTTTTTGTTGTTGTGTGTGAGCAGGAACGCGAGGATCCAACTTTGACAGAGTGGGATCGCTTTGCTCATAGGGAGTATATCAGGCTTTCAATGGAAGAAGATGTTGAAGATGCCTCGAATGGAAGTGTTGAAGTATGGGATGAGTCCCTAGAAGCTCCATTTTAAGTTTCCTGAAGCAAGTTTTGTAGGACCTTTGCCAAACATATTCGGGGTGTATGAAGAAAGGCTGGCTAAATGGAGATAGTGTTGATCAGAAAATTCACAGCCAAAAATATCAACTTGGGTTGTATAGCTTTTACACGCATATTAACCCAGCCTGCTATTGGCTAGCCCTTTTGCAACTATGCTGCGCTGCACTGACGTTCCGCGATGAAAATAATTGCTTAACCAACCATCGTATCAAGAATCTGCTACTGTGTTAAAGGTCGTTGTTTCATTAATTGATTAGACAACCATTGCTTCTCTCTCTAACCTTGCTCCTCTTCGACTTCTTTTTTTTTTTTTTTTTTTTTAAGTTTCTCATTTTGGATTCAAGAACAACGGCAAAGTACTGGAATTGCAGCATCATGTCAAAAATTGTTTGCAGGAAGAGTGTTGAAAACCTACATTCTTTTATTCTTCCTCTTTGTTGTGCGGAGATTTCGTACTGATCTCCTTGCACTAGTTTCTATTGTCAGGACTATATATGAAAAATATCACTTTTCCCATACCGGTTATTTTTTCGTACTGATTTTCTGATTATATGCGTAATGTGTAATGACAGTGGGTTTATGGTAATGACAATTGGTGATTGATAGACTCTGGAATGGGGATCAACTCAAAAGTTAAGAATCAATTTCAGCTAGAGAGATTTTGATAGCAACAGTTATAATAACAATGATCCAAAATTCAAGTCTGTAGGTTTACGGTTGTTATATTGATGAAAATCAAAAAGGAGCCAATGACTCAATCAAAACTGGAAACGTATAACCATATTGAAAGGCCTATATAAGGGAATTTATGCAGCGGTCTCCTTTTTAAGTTTAGCCAGCTCCTGCCTAACGATTCCAGCCCTCTGCAGTACAAATTTGCAGTATATAAATCAGGATCATAAATCATAGAAGTTGGAAAACAATTTATTCTCAGTGTTGAGTTAACCAAAGGGGCTAAAATAACTTCAATAGCTAAAGATTTTATGTCTTGATTGTCCCAAAAAGGTTCAGAACCATACCTTTATCCTCGCCATATTTCATTCAAGTTCAAACTTCTTTAAATCATTAACATTTGAAGGACTAACAGTGTACTTTACAGCAAAAAATAGTACAAAATTAACTTCAACTCCTTTCCATCCAAAATTAGAGCAGATGCTCTCATTCATAAAGAGGCCAAAACTGAATTAGCTAGCCAGATAAAACACTTGAAACATGGGTTCTGGAATCAATGCCTAAGGCATTCTAAACAGTTCACAGTCTATGGCAGGCATAAAATAAGCTTTGAAACAGAAAATGAGAGACAGAGAAATGGACAATGAGGAAAAGAGAGAGGGTTTCAAGGATTATGCCAATCTTGGATACATGAAGGACTATAAACAAAATTCAAAGGGCAATAAAAACCAGGCAAGCATAGCAAGAAAATGATGCAATATGAAAAGCTTGAATGATTTGCTGACCTTAATCTTTGCCAACATGAGCTTGAACCTATCAAAATCATTAAGTGATGCCCGTCTTTTCTGCACGATCAGCTTCCTACCCCATGAACTGCTCTCCCATTTGTTCTTCACATCTGCACCGTTATAAATCAAGTTTCAGGGAACAGAAAGTAAAAAAAGACCCTCCCCCTTTTCTTTTTAAAGTTCAAGGATTTAAGTTAACACTCACCAGCTTTCTCCATAGCATCAATCAAAGTCTTCTTCTTAGGAACCCGATTGATATCAATCTTGATATCTGTGAGAGTTAGCCTTTTAAAGTTCATTTGGCTTCTTACCATATCAGGTGCATCAACAAGAGCCTAAATCACATTAACAAAAGCCATTACTACGGCTTATTTCATAATAATAGTAATTAAAAATCTCAGCTAAAATTGCAGTGTATTGAAAACCCATTAACAAACACCCCCAAAAAATGCAAACATAAAATGTAATCTTGTACTCTGTTTTGATCAACGACGTCGACAATGACAACGAGCTTGCCATAGTCCTTGCCGTAGTTAACCAGAGCCACTCTTCCAATCTCCACGTACCTCTTGAACGGCTTAAAAAAAAACAAATTCAAATATATAATTATTATATATGGACATGAAAATCATGATATCTTTTTTTTTTTTTTTTGTTTCTTTTTGTTGTTTGGATGCTGAGAAAAACAAGAAGAGATGAAAAACAATAATGGGATTTTCTTTCTTTATGAAGCTTACCATTTTGAGAGATCTGGGGCAGGAAGGGCTATGGCAGTGGAGAGGTGGGAAGTGGAAGAGAGGCGATGCAGTGGGGTGAATTAGGGTTTACGAAAGCCGCCATTAAACTTCTGTAACTAGGGTTTTAAGTTTTTAACTATTTTGGGCCCTGCGGGTTATTTTTTGGGCCAATATGGGCTTTTCCTTTTTGGGCTCGGGTTTGCGCTTCAGTCTTTAGAAAATGATGACCAAAGCTAAAATGATAAATATGTAAGGTTCAGTTTAATATTGTTTTTTTAAAAAATAGTTTTTCCTTTTAAAAGTGACTTTTACTCAATTTTAATGTTAATCAATTTAAAAAATAATTTTTTTAGTTTAAATACCTGATTTTACATCTCAAATTAGAAAAATTATTTAAGAGATGCTTTTTCAACTAAAAGTATTTTTGAAATACAAAATCAATATATTTCAAAATACATTACTCTCTTGAATTTAAAGATTTATGCTTTTTTAAAAGATTTGAAAAACTATTAAACTTTAATTTGTAAAAGTATATTTATTATATAATTATATTAATTTAAAATCTATATTGTAAAATTAAAAAATACGTTAAATTATCAACATTATAAACTTTATAAAAGAAAAAAAATGCTAAAGATTGAAATATATATCATGTTTTTATATTTTTTAAGAGTACTTATTTTGGATGAATTTGCATAAATTTAAATTGTATAATTTATTAAATGGATGAGTTTGAATAGAATTTGAAATATGAATAGTCAAATCAGATTTAGTTTAGAACAAATATGTAAGTTGCTAATAATAAGCTTAGGCTTGACGCGAATTTAGCCCGAAACAATTCATGGATAAATTTTTTTGCCAAAGATCTTCTGCTTAATAATGGATGAAATTGTAATTTATGAATTATTAAGAAAATTGTAATTTAAGGAACATAAATTTTATAATATAAATTAAATACCTAAATTTCTAATAGTTTATTTTACTTTATTAAAATTAGTGAGTGGTTTATATAATTTAATAATAAATCCAAGTCCTGAAAAATAAAAAAATAAAAAGAAAAGAAATTATTCACTAAGGAAACTAACCTTTCAATTAAGGAAACTATCCATTTCTCTAATTAGTTTGTTGTCAAAAAGTGACATTTGCTTCTTTGGGACAATGGGGAAAAAAAAAAAAAAAACCTAAAAATGCATACTTGGCCAGTGGCCTCCATTAACAACGACTGTTTTACCGTTTAAAATAAAGAATCCTTTTTTCCCGTCTTACCAATAATTCCTCTGCGTCGTTCTTCATTGAATTGTTCCATTTCTGCCTTGTCTCCAAGCAAAAAAAAAAGCTTCCATGAAGGGAATTTTGTAGCATATCCAGTCCGTTGCCGGCAAAGAAGTTGGCTCTTTCTATTTGATTTCATCACTCTGCAAGTAAGCTTTAGAAATATAACAATAATATGTAAAGATGCAATTTTGAACATATCTCTTTTTCAGAATTTCTTTATTGGTTTTTTGTGTTTGGGTTTGGATCATCCACGACAGGGAGGAGAGAGGAAGAGTCTGTCCCCAAAAGGGTGATGGGTTGTTTTGAATTTGATGAATATTTGAATCTACCATTGATGGTCTGATGATGATTGTTTCTGGGTTTTTAAGGGAATGAATCAATTAAACTGATCTGACATTCAAATGTTAAAGCCTTGAATTATTTAACGATGCCAAGATGTTCTTTTTTCTTTCTTTTATTGTGATGATGTTTTTCATCATTTCCTTCTTTCTATTTGTCAGTGGCAATGATTTAATGTTTGTATTCACAGTTTTCTATGTATTCTGAGTATTGTTAAATGTCTTTAGTTTTATTGTGTTTAATGGGCAGTAAATGATTAGGGTCACTTGTTTAGGTGGTTGGGCAGCAATATCAAAGATGTTTGGTAAAAATCCTGGAACAGAGGAGTTGGAGGCCTTCTATCCCATAAGACCAGAATGCATAGCTGATGTTCCAAAGACCCGCTTTAGGCCCAGGGTGTGCATCTTTTACTCACATCTTCCCTTATTCAAGTTTCAGTTTAATTCTGTTTGTATGCTTTGCTTTTTACTAGACGTATACCATTTTCTCGGTGATGCACCTGCAATACCTATCTATTTTCTCAGGCAGGGAAAACTCTCAGTGCAAGAAGATGGCATGCTGCATTTTCTGAAGATGGTCACCTGGATATAGCAAAAGTTCTTAGACGGATCCAACGAGGGGTATGCTTCTTTCTAGTTCTATTTATAATTATATTGCCCGACTACATATATATTTATATATACAATTTGGACCAAAGAACTGACACAGAGTATTGGACATTGAAATAGAGTAAGTTGTTGCATTTGAGATGTTGGATAGTATGATCATTTTATTAGTAATTTAAGATAAAAGTTATAGATAAGATTTCTAAAAAGTGATTCATTCATTCATAACTTTAAAGTCTTTAATAAAACTCCTGAATTATGTTCAATATGAGATTGCTTCTATGAGTTTTATGATATTAGCACCCAAATAAAATCAATATCAAATTTCTTCAAGCTTGTGAAAAACCTCATGAGGTTATGGAGAACTAAATTTGTTCAGATCCATGCAAAAGTAAGTTTGAGCTGGTATAGATTTACTTTTGCATCATATATTAACATATGTATGGGCCAAATTTAACGGTGTTCAAGACAACAATGTAATAATGTTAATCATTGTGACTTTTAAATTTATATTCAGCTCCAAACTATAAATTATAAAGGAATAGAAATGCAATCTTATTACTCTCCCCTCTCTTTCCCAATCCTATAGCAGACATATGTCTACATGAATGCATACACATGTTTATGCACATGCATTTTTGTCTCTTTTTCATGATTGTTATTCAACTGGGTTTCTGCTCTGTCATTTTGAAGTGGTTAACCATCTGTACCACCTATGTAATAGCTGATATTTATTTGTGTCTGTTTACATTGGTGTGGTTTGCATATAATTATCTATTTATATTTGTTGAAAGTTAAACAACTTATATCAAATATGGAGAATTTATTTTTGTTAGTTTTTCTTGATTTGTTATGGTAGGGTATTCACCCTTCAATCAAAGGGTTAGTCTGGGAGTTCCTTTTAGGTTGCTTTGATCCCAACAGTAGCTTTGAGGATCGGAATCAGCTTAGACAGCAAAGGAGGTAACAACTTTACATTAAGATTTAATACATAGAACTAGGAAATTGATTTTAGCATCTCAACAAGTATAAATTGTTCATGACTTAATGTGTATTTTCTTTTTATCACTTCTAAATTTTAGTAGTGCTCCATATCTTTACCTGATTGAAGTTTTATAGCTCTGTAACTGTTGCTTGGGCCCTAAAGTACTGATTTAACATGGTTTGTTCACTCAATGAATAGTCATGCCTTCCTTTCCATTGATTATGAAGTCTTATATTTGAGGACATTTTGTTTCTGAAGATGCATTTAGGTAGTCAGCCATGTTCAAGTATGACTTTGTGTTGATTTTGGTAATTTTATTGTGAACCATTTAGTTTTCTTTCATAATGCTGACTTTTTTTTCTTTCTCTTAAGTTCAATGTTTTACTTTTCCTAAGTTGATCATTGTGGCTGAATTTATCACACTAACCATCCCAGGGAGCGGTATGGCATGTGGAAGACTGAATGCCAGAATATGGTGCCTGTCATTGGTAGTGGAAAGTTCATTACAACACCAATTATCACTGATAATGGCCAACCAATAGAAGTCGAAGGTTGCAATGTGACAAGTGCCGTTTCAGACAAGAAAGTGGCTCAGTGGATGCTTTCTTTGCATCAAATCGGTATGTATGGTATATAATTTCATGCTCAACCGATTGGATCTTCCTGATGCTTTATGTTGATTCTTGACGTACTGCTAACCAATTTTGTACTTTCATTGCAGCAATAAGTTCGGTAGATGTCCTTTTAAGGCTTTAACTAGGCCTGTCTCATACTTGGTTGTAACCTTTTCTTTTTTGAATACCATTCTAATGGCCTCGACACTTGTAAAATTCTACCATAGATGCTTGTTGATATTCTATGTTGTAAGCTGTTCTAATCGTAAGGAAAATCCTATTTCAGAAAGCATGCTTGTTATAGAGGGCTTCATTTGTGGTTTTAGATCATCTATGCCTCCATCTGATAATTATAGTTGTAGCTTTATTTAAATTCCAACCGTCCTTAATGTACTTGATGTATTTGGTTTGTAGGTTTGGATGTTGTTCGAACTGATCGAGCACTTCTCTTTTATGAGAATGAAACTAATCAGGCAAAACTTTGGGATATTCTTGCTATATATTCATGGGTAGATGATGATATTTGTTATGTTCAAGGTGAGTAGTAGCTATTGATTGCATTAGCTGTTACCAAGCTAAAGTTTTCTTGTTCTCCAACATTTCTGGCATATTCTTTCATGAGCAGGAATGAATGACATATGCTCTCCAATGGTAATTCTTCTTGAAGATGAAGCAGACGCATTTTGGTGTTTTGAGCGTGCAATGCGCAGACTGGTAAATTTGTATTTCTTGCAGGATTGTTAATCGAATAATTGATTCAATGATGCACTATCTTTTACATTTCTTTTTCTTGGAATTAGTTTGTATGATTCACTAATCATTAATCTGTTCAAGTTGCTTTTTATGAATGGTTAACTTAGTCTGAAGAATTGATTGCTTTTAGGTCATCATTTTGGAAAGGACAGTCTTTATGTCTTATAAAGCTTTTGACATAGTGGGATCTTTATGCTTATGTCATGTATATGGTGATTAAAAATGAAAGAAGTACATGCTTACTTAAACTGCTGCAGATTTTTGTTCTATATGATGATTTTATGTGGGGAAGGTTCATATAAAACTTTGGCTTTACATATAATGTTTTACATCCCCAAAAGTACAAGTCAGACTTCTGATTTTGTTTTTGTAACAGAGGGAAAACTTTAGGTGCAATACAACTTCAATAGGAGTGCAGTCCCAGCTTAGTACACTTTCACAAGTTATTAAAACTGTTGACCCTAAGCTTCATCAACACCTTGGTATGCATTTCTTTGCCCCATTATTTTTTTCTAAATTAATTCTATTTGCTGTTTTACTCCTTGTTAACATTGGCCTTGTTTAGTTTAAAATTACCCTGAAAATTTAAACCATTGGAAAAAGCTGGCTAACAACATCAGTTGTTATGTATTTAAGTATCAATACTAGATAGACCAATTATAGCATGTCTGGAGCTCCTACAAAATGTTCCTATGCCATTTGAACTTTAAGATCGTGACTACAGCTTAAAAACTTGCTACCTCTCCTAACTTCATATACGCAACTTAGTGGAAAAGAAAGAAAATTAGAACAAAAAGAAGAGGCACCCAATGCTTTTCATGGACATCAACAGTACCCAAAACACAACACTTTTTCTTTTGTGCCTTCTTTTTTCTTGCCATCTTCATAGTCTTACAATTTTATCTTGTTCAACTAAAATCTCATTTAATTTGTGTGACAGAGGAACTAGATGGTGGGGAGTATTTGTTTGCGTTTCGCATGTTGATGGTACTCTTCCGGAGAGAGTTCTCCTTTGTTGATGCATTGTATCTTTGGGAGGTGAGAGGAAAGAGCTCTATTGATTTGAGTTTCTCCTAGAAATGGGCTCTCTATTTTAATATCTAGGAAAGCTGTTATTGTAGCTTTGAGAGAATTGAAGGTTTCATCAGTTGTGTTAATTTGTTGTGAGTTCGAATTTCTTTCTATGCTTTATCCTAAGACAGAGATTGGTTCCAGGTAATGTGGGCAATGGAGTACAACCCTAATATCTTCTCGTCATATGAGCTGCCCGATGCAACTATAGATAGCAGCACTGCACTAACATTAGATCAGAAGCTGCTAAAGCAGTATGGGAAATTTCAAAGAAAAAATGTGCAGAATGGACAAACGGAGAAAAACAGTGCACTAGCAGTTTTCCTTGTTGCAAGTGTTCTTGAGACCAAGAATAAGCGGATTCTAAAGGAGGCTAAGGGTTTGGATGATGTTGTCACGGTACTCTCTCTCTTTCTCTCTCTTCCTTTCCCCCTTGTGCACATAAATCCTCGCAAATTCCCATTCATGTTGCAGCATTTTTCTGACCATGGAAGTCTCTATCTAGATATTGGGTGATATTACTGGAAATTTGGATGCTAAGAAAGCATGTAAAGAGGCACTGAAGATTCAAGACAAGTACTTGAAAAAGGTAAGGCTTTGTTTATTCCAAAATAGTTAGATGGATAGACTGATTATTCATTTGCCTTTTTTTGCATGCAGGCCAAGAAGCCATAGCCGCAGATCATCAAACATGAATTTTTATATTTTAAAGATTTTTGTATCCATTTTTTCGCCTAATTTTTTTTCCAATTTTCCTTGTATTTTGGATTTTTTATTTTATTTTATTTCTCTTCCACCTTGTTCATACATATATTAATTGATTTCATTTTTTGAAAACTGAAGTTCTTTTGTGTAAAATGATTATGATGAGATGATTTTGTGGAATTATGAGCTTTCACGGTTAAAATAACAAAGTAAAAAAAATGTACTGTGTAAAAAAAAAATAATGCAAGGAAGTCAAATTCGTTCCATTAAGCGTTTTTCTTTGATCACAAAGAAACAAATTTATGAATCAAAGACGAGGGAATAATGAGAGCATACTTTCTATTTCAATTTCTTTCTATATTATTTTAATATAAAGTGTAAAATAACCATTTGGATGGTTGATAAAAGGTTATATTTTTAAATTTAGTGATTAGGATTCAATCTTGCAGCTTCAAATATATTTTAATATAAAGTTTGTTTTTCAATAAATATATATAAAGTTTAGATTACTTGATTGTAAAAACATGGTTTTTAAATACAAAATTTATCTCTCTCTCTCTCTCTCTCTATATATATATATATATATATATGTATATATATATGTATGTATGTATGTATGTAGTTAAAAACATGGTTGGTATAATAGCAAGGACCATTTATACCGAAAAGACAACGAAAAATGGACAGATCATGAACAGATAGGAGTGCTTAAACTTGAATTAAATCTCTTTTTTCAGCAAGATTTCCTTCACTCATTACTGGTATATATAGAAATAACAGGAATGCACACAAAATTTTGTATATTCTATAATTTAAAAAAAAAAAAATCCCAGGAAGATTATGTTAGATAAAGCAAGCACAAAAAACCAAATAATCTATATTTTCTCAATAAATAAGATAATTTGTTGAAACGTTTTTAATTTTTGTTCGATATTTGAAGTTGTTTGAATCTAAAACTAAAAATTCAGTATTTTACTTAGCAGATCAAATGATTATTCGTAAACTTTCCTAAATTTAGTATTTTTTTTTAAATAAAAATTTATCTTTTCTCATTCTCTTACCTAATTTTTCGAAAAATTTTTGGTTTAAATTGACTAGTCTTAATTGTGAGATGATGCACTTCCATTGAATTAACGCAAGTTTTGCTTAAGACAGAATTTGCCTTCCTAATTCTTTTCTCCTGATGACCACAATCCCTAAAGACACATTTGTCAAAAACAGTCCAATGTTTTTTATCCAATTTTTTTCTGTGAACTTCACTTTTTCCTCCATCTTAAGGTTCAAGGAACAATCACTGTTATTTTTTTCTTTGAATTTAAAATTCTTTGCTGTTTCTTGAGAAAAAAAAAAATTCAATCTCCTTTCATGTTGTTGCATGTATGAATTGATGCACGTTTGCATCATTATGTTCTTCTTTGAAGGTGAGATGCTAGCAGAACAAATGTTTCCACCTCCATCTCAGAAGCTAACTCAAAATTAAGAGGCTGATTTATCAAAGCAAAAGTAACAAATCAAGATGTCATCAAACAATAAGATGAAGGGCCTGCTAAAAGGCCTTAGATACATTTCTCAAATATTTGGTTTGTAATTCCATCTCTTTGGCCTTTTACACCACTGCAGATTCTTTTATCCATTTCAAGACATAAAGGTGCAGAAACTTGTAAAATTTCTGGGAGATATGCTTCAATTCATTAGGGAAACTTTTTCAGATTTTAGACAAAAATGAGTCTTGCAAAAGTTAGTGAACAAGAAAGGAAATTGGGTACCCCAATTTGTTAACAAATAAATAAATAATTGAAGAAAAGGAAGAAAACACAAGATTTAGTTGGATTTGTTTGGCGTTTCTTGCTAATAATGACAAAATGTCTGTACTTATTTTGCAGATAATGAACAAGAGCCTGAAATGCAGATTGGTCTCCCAACAGATGTAAAGCATGTGGCTCATATAGGATGGGATGGCCCATCTGTAAATTCTGCACCCAGCTGGGTAAATTTAACTACTAGTACTATGATTATTAGAATTTTTTTATCTTGTTATGATCACAAAATTAAAATTGCCAAGTAAAAAGAAAAACAAGATTCATATTTGAGTATATTCTGGCTTTTATTTTATATGCAGATGAATGAGTTTAAAGCACCACCTGGACTTTCATCAGCACCTGTAGGTAATGGAGGAGAAGTTCGGGAGGAAGATCCTGTCAAATGGGTCTGTCAAGGTACCATATATTGGTTTTCCAAACTGAAGCAGAAGAATTGTGTGCATCATTTGATTCATTTCTCAAATACGTATTTGAGATTTTCAAAATTGAGTTTTGATTACGGAAATTAAAAATGTAGCATTAATTCTATTGACAAACTGCACGATTATTGATTTTATTTCTCAAGTTTTGGTACGTACTACATAAGTTTATGCATCATTATTTTGATTAGTATTAATATAATTTTGCAGATGGGAGCTGCGGAATAGGTTCAAGGAGTCAAAATTCTTCACCAAGAGACATGCCAGAACTGCCTAAATCATCAAAGCGCAGTTCATCTACAAATGGACATGGTACAGGAGAGTCTTCAATAAAGGAAAAACCAAATAAACCTAGGCAACCAAGGAAGCCTTCCAAGAATTCTTCAGATGGTAGTATCAAGCCTAGAAAACCCAAGGATCCAAACCAAGCTACTGACTCAACCTCACAAGACCTCCCTGGCATCCCAAAGAAAAGTAGTAGGCGAAAAAAGTCCAAAGACTCCTCTGTCGGTGGATCCTCCAGGGGGCACAGAACCCAGGACTTGGATACTGGATCCGAGTCAGGGTCTGTATCTGGACCCCGAGAGGAACGGCTTAGTAATGCTTCAGGTTTTGAAGAAGAGGAAGGTACCTGAGAAAATTAATGTTGGTGCCGTTGATTTTGGTTGGTAGCAGCAAGCTAGACTCTCTTTTGCTTTAGTGGAAACCAAGAAGAATCACATACTTTTGTTTTTTTCTTTAATCTTTTTCCCACCTCGGGGAAACCTAGTACGATTAAAAATCCTTTGGAATTAATTGTTGAAACTTGGAACTGATTCAGTGGTTCAGCTTTCGATGAAGGAAAATTTTCAAAGCGTGGGAGAACTAGTTTTAGATTTACCCTAAATCTAACTATCATAACGAAAATGGACTGTCAATCGTGATCAAACTGATCATGGCTATACAATAAATGGATAGTTCATGTCTACATCAACCGCAATGCGAGTGCAGCTGGTTTTTGTCCTTGTGCAACAGTGCGTTGGAAATTTTTGTATTGTCTGAGCCTTCATGAATCAGGATTAATGCTCTAAAACAGCAGCTTTTTTCTCGAGAGTTGCATCAAGTCATTTCACGAATGCTCGAGGCTTTCTCTCAGTATGTCTCAATGGCTTGAGCCAGAATATCTAGTTAGCTTAACTAGTTATTAACCTGTTTGCATCACAAGAAAGAAAACAGTTTGATCCTGATAATATCCCCTTTCCCACAAAACAATAAAACTATAACTAAATTGAAGAGGAGGGTTAGCTCAAGGCTTGAAGCAAATCTCACACCACAAACTGGTTGCCAAAAAGTTGTTTTTTTTCCCTTAAAATATCAAATAAATCGGCAATCTGATCCATAACTCAAAATAATTTCATGTCTAAATAAAATGGAAAACTCGAGAAAATGTGAAACCAAAAAGATAAAAGTTGGCCATTTTCAGTTTCCTCAAACCACATTGCACAAAAAAGATTCTACTACTCATCAGACTATCAGTTATCACAACAAGAGAATTTCTAGAAGTATGCAGTGGTTTTTCAAAAAAAATGCAACTGAACTGAAGTGGATATTTAGCAACAAAATAATACTATATCTACTTGTCATTGATTAATTGACCAAAACAAAACACAAAAAAGAAAGTAATTACTTAATTTTACCCACCGCAATACAGTGCCAATAAACCTCCAAAAATTCCTATTAATTCAAGTCGGTATTAACTTGTAGTTTCTGTAAGATATATCAGTATTTTTCCATGATCTTTGATGATAAACAATCAAACTAAAACTATCAAAAACCCCCAAAACAGTAACATAACATGAAAAGAAGACGATAACAGCCCAGCATTAGAACCTCCAATGAAGAGGACGGGAATGGGAATGTCTGGCTTGCTGCATTTCTTCAATTTTCCCAAGCTGCTGCCAATGCTTTTACCATGGCTCAATTTCTCATCAACACACAGTTCTGGATTACCTTTTAACCTTAACTTTTCGCCAACCTTAGCAGTAAATTTAGAAGAGAAAGGAACTCTTCCACTCAAATTGTTGTTTTCCAAATTGATTTCCCTTAGAAACTTCAAGAATCCAATTTCCTCAGGCACTTTCCCTTCTAGCTTGTTGTTATCAAGTCCTAAATAAAACAAGTTTCTCAAATGCACCCCCATGGAAGCTGGAATTCCCCCAACCAATCCCATACCAGAAAATCCTATCCCCAAAATACCCCCTAGCTTTTCCCATATTTCTGGTATCTCACCTCCTAGTAAATTTCCACTCAAATACAACTCCTTCAATCTGGGCATATCAGCAAGAAACAAAGGAATCCCAAAGTTACCAAAACGGTTAAAACTCAAATCCAAGAACTCCAAACCTTGTAAGTTACTCAAGCTCCCTGGAATTTTACCAGAAAACCCATTTGAACTCAAGTCTAGCTTCAAAAGCTGTGTGAGATTACCAACTGAACAAGGGACATTTCCCCCAAAATTATTGCCACTTAAGTCAAAAACTTTCAGTTTCTTCAACTTAGACAAACTAACAGAAACCTGTCCACTAAGCTTGTTTCTTGACAGTGTAATCTCTTCAAGGTTAACCAAATCACCAATCCCATCTGGGATACTCCCATAAATTCCATTTCCAGTCAAAACCACCCTCCTCAAACTTGTGAAATTGCGGATGATGCCACTGAGAGGACCAACAAAAGCTGGGTTATTTATAAAGACAAGCTGTTCAAGAGAGGACCCGAAAGTTGTGGGAATCTCAGGGACAAAAACTTGGGTTTCGGTGAAACATTGATAGAAGAAAAGCTTGCGTAGATGTTTGAAGGAAGTGAAGAAGAGAGGGCTGAAAGTGGAGTTTGGAGAGCAAGGAGGGTTTGCTGTGTAATCCGAAACGTAGCCGAAACTCAGTTCTGTGATGTGAACCGTAACGTTGTTCGTGGCGGGGTCGGTAAAATAATCACAAACGACGCCGTGTGGAGGGTAGGAGCAGAGGTCGTCAGGGAAGAGAGTACGCCAGGGGATGGCTGAGTTGATGGAGGAGAGAACTTGGTAAACTGAGTCCTGCTCAGCCGAATTGAGGACAGGTTGCTCCTGTTGCAATGAAATGGTAACGACAGTGAACATGAGAGTGCAGAAAAAGACGAGCTTCAAAATGGAAAGAGCAGCCATTTTTCTTCTTGGTTAGTGGTTTTCTTGAGAGTGAAAAGAGAAGAGAAAACCAAATAATTGTGTGGGAGGTGTTCGGTTGGGATCAAAGCAAAGAGATGGTGATTTTCATTCGCTTTGCTGGAGCTTGCCGCATGGTTATGATGTGCAGATATTGTGAATTTACCTCAATGGACTTGCCCTTGGACTGTAGTGTAGGCTGGCTCTGCCAAGTCGACCTAGCTCTGAGCCTCTGTCCAACCAAACTTCAAAATTTCCTCCTTATCTTTTGTAACTTGAACCCCAATTATGCTCAAAACAAACAGCGAAGCAAAACAAAAAAAAAAAAAAAAAGACGCCTCGGCAGTAGTTAATGCAAAATTTCAAGTGTTTAGAGAAATGCAAAAGAGGAGAAGATTAGGGTCAGTGGAAGAGGTTTTTTTGGGAACAATGGACTTTGGATCTTGTTTTTACATAGTTTCGCCAATTCTGTATGTAAAAAACGTACACAAATGTTGGAGCAGAACCAATCATACAATTGGCCAGACCAAAGATGTCAATTTTTTTGTTTTACTAGTACGTGTTTTAAGCCTTCCATAAACTACGAACATTTTTAGCAAACTATCTGGCCACTCAAAAGCACTAACGTAAATGAAAGTGTTCGAGCTTTAAGCCTTTAACCCTGCAAGAAAAAGGCTGGAGCTTCGATTTGTAGTTTTAAGTTTTAACTTCGGTAACAGTAAAAAAGCATAAAACGATAGCCGAAGAGAAGCAGGCAGAAAAACCTAAGGAACAAAGGTAGCGCGGAAGCCGACAATGATGAGCCGCAGCCGCCGACCTACTGTCTCAATGTCCCATTAAAGCGACATGTAACGGACGACGAACGAGGCATTCTGTTGAAACGTGTCGACATCGTACTCGTTGGCAGATGACAGGTGTATATTGTACGGAGGACCGTTTCCGGAAACGACAGTGCATGCGAAGTCCATTTCCGGTACGGTTTGGTCCTGTTCTGCGCAGTGTAGGGTCCATTTACTGGTTTTAACTTTTGCAGTAGTATACTTTTTTCACCTACCCAGCCAAAATTTGCCTTTGCTTCTTCGTTCTTTTTGATCTTTGCGGTTACTTGTTGAAGTGGAAGCAAACTCCATAGACTCGGAAAGTGGAAAGAAATTCTTACCTTTTTTTTTTTTTTCATTTCTCGAGGTAAGCGAAAGAAGCCAAGAGTAAAATAATAGTAATAATTTTATTTACTTGTTTGCTTCTTCACTGTGGTTATGTGGGACAAAATTGGTGACGGATGGTAATTAATTTTACATGGCTATATCTTGCAGAAGTACGATCTTTTGACGGTGGGGAGACGATAATTTCCTGCTACGGTTAAAAAGTTTTGCCAATAAAGTAGTTTCTTTCATATTTACTCCTGATTGCTCTCATATTTGTTTTGAGTTTTGATTCTACAGATATTTGAATTATCACAAAATTTTGATATGCCTTAATAACAGCTATAAAATTTTAATTATTAACAAATATTATAATTTATTTTTAAAATATAAATATTTATTAAAAATATTATTCTAATTAAATTACGTTAAAATTATGTGATAATTCCTACTAAACCAAATCCGTGAGGAGTTAAACTCATAATTGTCCACACACAAAGTTTCTTTTGGATTGTACAAGTAAATAGCTTGATGGGTTTTCAAAGTTTGATTTTAATTCAATGATAATAAGAATAATAATAAAAATAGAGGGTCACCACCATATGATTGGTTTCAGTAACGGAGAAAGTGTACTTTTTTTTTGTTGTACAAGTTTAAATTTATTAAAATATCGCAAAAAAATATTTTTTTTAAATCATTAAATTTGTACCAATCTTTAAAAAATAATAATAAATGAAGTCCATAAATCTTTGTCATTAAATAAAAAAAATGGAGGGTCCCTTAATAAAATGACCTATATATATATATATATATATATTAGATAACAATCCGTGCGTTGCGATGGTGTATAATTTTCTTGTATAGTATCAACAGTAATAGTCTACATAAGAAATGCTTGAAACTTATGATTATCAATAATCCCTTGTTGTTAAACCTAGATAAAAAAACCTTCATTAGAAGGCATAACATTAAAAATTAATATAGGGAGATATACTTTTCACAAATGACCACTCCTGTTGAAAAGCATTTGCTGACCTCCATGCTTCTTAAACACTCTATCATACATCTTGCATCTGTCTTTTGTTTCCAGTAATTAGGAATGTAAGGTTACAAAAACTAAACTATAGATTGCTTTTCATCATTTAGCTGCATATTGACTTTAGAAGGAATGATGCCTTCCTCGTCTCTAAGTATTCACAATCAAACTCCATCAATCTATAACAACTCATTGAAAAAATATTTTCAAATGTATAAATGAGAAGAATCTGATATCTCTAATTACATTAAAGTTTAAACTCTTAACTTGTGTACCAACAAAAGAAACATTAAAAATAAACAAAGTTAAGCACAACCTGAACACAGTTGGTATCCCAAGCTCTCACAATCTCATCTTTGTTCCCATATAGAGTTATACATACCCACTGGCAATGAAAATCAACTTTCAATCTGTCACAAAGCAAACCCAGCATCATCATAAGAGTGACATACTCCCACAAATTAACACCAAAAAGAAAGAATAAAACAAAAGCACAGAAACCTTTATTGAACCTCCCAAATTAAAAGAATCTGTATATGTTCCTAAATTTTTGTTTTTAAAACAACAATAGTATAACGCTTTGATTAATAAAAAAAAAATTCAACTACTGATCTAATAATTCAATTTCTCCTTGGAATTTAATCAGCCTACTGATCTAATAATCTTCATTTTTTTTTTGTCTTTTTTAAACCAAAAACCATTTAAAATTAATATCAATGAAAATCATCAGTAATCAAACTAAAAAACTATAAATTCAAAGAATAAATTTCTATTCCTAAAATTAGCATTCATATTCAACAAAACACATAGAATAAGACAAAAGTACATTTCTATTGTTATACCTACTGCCAATACATACATAAGCATGTTTTTTCAAATCTCAATGACTGGAACAAATTAAAACAGATCAAAGATTTCAGAATTGAATTATTGGTTCAATTCCTTTCGACTTTGAGCTTAAGGTTTTGTAACCCATTAAATCTGCATGAGAAAAGGGTTAGTAAGTTAACATATGTAGCAACAAATCATGAGTTCCTAAATATAAATTTTAAAAATTACTTACAATTTTCCCGCTTATGCTTTTCAGAAACACAAAATCTGTATAGAGAATCAAAGATAAAAAAAATGGGTATTAGTTTTTTTGGTTTCCTCAAAAAGGCTTTTGGAAGATCGAAATTGTTAATAATTAAGTAAATAATCAAGAGGCAAACAAGACGGGAATGTTTGGATAAAGGAATGAATTTAGGCATTTTGGGAAGGGGAACAAACCCAATTGGAGCTGATGGGATTCTAAAAAAAAAAATTGACGGAATTAAATCTGTGATAAAGGAGAGAAAGCTTCTGCAATTGTTAAATTTAAGATTTAAACATTCGACTGGAAGAGATTCAACACAAAAAATCTTGCAAATCTTGCGATTTTAAATCTAAGACAACGATCATCATATGAGTTTATTTAAAAAGTTGGATATATAAAATATGGATTTACCTGCTTTGGATTGAAGTAGAAAAAGCGATAGTGCCATGGAAAGCGATGATCCACACGTAGCTTGATGTTGTCCAGAATTTGGTGATAAAATCACAATCCATTTATTTGGGGCCATAAATGATTGAAAAATGCAAGCATGAGGAAATCTCATAGAGATGTATTGATTTGAAGCGTTTGGACTTTTGGGTTTTTTGAGGAAATTTAAGATAATATTGAGGATATTGCTGTAGATTCAAAAATTTAAGAAACCAATAGGTTTGAATAATTATAAGGGATTCCAAATGCTATTGATTGAAACCAAATAAGGAAATTAAAGGGTTTAATATAAAGAAAGACTGCAGATTTCAAGAAGATAAAACCTGAGATTATCTTCGTGAAATCTATATATATATATATATTTTTTTTTATTAAATACATAGTAATAAGATTGATTTAACTTTAATTACAGATAAAAATTTTAATTTAGACTTTCATTAAATAAACTCATTTTATTGATAATATTTATTCAATCTATATTCGATGTAAAACTTTATATAAATGTTAATGTAAGTTTTTGTTAATATGCAAAATTTAGTTGTTTTTACACCATATGCAACTACATGACAACAATAACTACTTGTTTAGGTATATAAGACTGATAAGATTTGATTATGATTATAAAAACTTAAATTGCATTTAGTGCGTAAAATTATTATAAGATATGAAAAATAATATTATGAATTTAATTAAATTAAATATTTTTATTTTATTTACATTTGAAGTTAAAATGATTATGATATGATGATTTTATTTATTAGTTTAATTTTTTAAAAAATTTATATAATTTAAATTATTAATTTAATTTTTAAAAGGTGCAATTGGTAGATATTGACACTCGATTTTAAGGGGGGCAATTAATATTATGTTTTAATTTGTTTTTATAAAACATATTTATTATATTCTATAAAAAATATATGCTTAAAAAATATATTAAAAGATGAGTTTATAAAATTATAAAAAAAAAATCATTATAACACGAAAGCTAAAATCAAATTAAAAAGTTAAAATCAAATTATTGTGATTTAAAATAAATAATTTTAAAGATTTTTAAATAATGATTAGTGGATATAATAAAAAGATAAATAGTAATGTAATTTTAACCCTTTAATTAAACCCTTTAATTAAATTTCAAGTAACAAAATTAAATTATAAAATCATAAAAAAATAAAAAATATTAATATTTTTAATTTAGAGATCAATTTAAATTTATTTAATCAAATATATATATATATATACTAAAAAGTTTAAAATTTTTTTAAAGGGGCTCTCAACTAAGAGTATAATTGAACCTAGTTGAGTCGATATAATGAGAAATTCAAACTCGAGCTCGACTCTCAATTCGCGATTCGATACTGGACTTGAACTCGATTGAGTTTCATTTTTTTAGCTCAAGCTTAATTCGTGATCGAAATCGAGTTACTCAAGCTCACTCGATTAATATATAAAAATAAGTTTAATTTATATACTCGACGATAATTAATGAGAAATTCAAGCTTGAGCTCGATTCTTAATTCGCGGCTCGTTACTGGACTTGAATTCGATCAAGTTTTATTTTTTTAACTCAAACTCAATTCATAATCGAAATCGAACTACTCGAATTCACTCTATTAATATATAAAAATAAGTTCAATTTGTATACTCGACAATAATTCAATTATTTGTACTTGATCTCGAAATCAAATTTGAGATATTTTATAAATTAAAATAATAAAAATATATTTAAATATAAAAACTTGATTAGACTCGTAAGCTACTCGAATCAGGTATTAGAATACTCGAATTTGATTCAATCAATGAATTGAACTATTCAAACTCGAGCTCGATTCGATAATAATCGAATCGAACCTGAATAATTTACTAGTACTAATATATTATTTACACCTCTATTCTCAACCACACATTACCTTTTATAAATTAAAGATAATTATTTTTTTATTAAAATATTTGAACGATCTTACAAAAAATAATTTTTTATTATATTATTATTTTTTAAATACAAACCAAGTATATCACCTGATCTTACTATTGTCAAATCAATAACTGTTACATATATATATATATATTACATAATAATACTCAAGTGCAAATAAAAAAAAATCAAAAGTCAAAATTTTATTTTAAAGGTCCAGCCCAAATTGAAGCCAAGTCCAATCCGTAGACATAGGCCAAGGCCTGGCACGAAATTTACCATTACCACGAAATTCTCTTCAAAACGAACGTTGACTTGAGTTAAAAATTTGGCATTGACGACGTTGGCTTGCTGCAAAAAAACCGCCGTAATCCCTTCAAAAACCCCAAATAAATAGATTTCCCTTTCCTTATTTGAAAACTGTTTAGGCGGGCGCCGCGTCACGTCGTTTCGTCGCCGTCTCTTCTCTCTTCTTGTCTTGTGTTTGTGTCTCCGTGATCAAGACAGGCGTAACGGCGTATCAGCGGTGCTTTGAATTCGCCAAGTCCTAAATCTCTGAATCTAAAATTTGATTAAGCTTTGATTGCACAAAATATTCAATTTCCTTTTTGAAGAAACCTAACAAAAATTACCCCCAAAAAAGAAAGAGAACAGAATTAGTATAAATCGAGAAAAACAAAGCAAAATGAAGATGGCAATGGCTGGTTTGTATAAACGAGTCCTTCCTTCTCCTCCTGCGGTCGATTTCGCTTCCTCCGATGGAAAGGTAATCACAACGTTCTCAATTTTTTACCTCTCGGCTGTTTAAGGTTTTTCATCATCCGCCAAAAAGATAATTGTTGATTTTTAGGTCAAATTGAACAATGTGTCTTTGGTAGTAATTTCCAATTAAAGAATTAACGGAATTGTAAACTGCAATTTTTTCAATTGGGAAGTTTTCTTTAATGTTTATGGTTAATAATTCAGTTCCATGTAATGTATTCGAACTGCAGCAACTTTTCATTGAAGCTATTCAAAATGGGACGATGGAAGGATTTTATAGGTTGATATCTTACTTCCAGACACAATCAGAGCCAGCTTACTGTGGGCTAGCCAGCCTTGCCATGGTCTTGAATGCCCTTGCTATTGACCCTGGAAGAAAATGGAAAGGTAAGTTCTAGAATTTAGTGGATATCTTTTTCAGCTCGTCTGTGCACTCAAAAGAGGTTTTTTTTTTTATAAATTATTTTATTCATCAACTTAGCAATCTCTCTATATGTAACAGAATTTGTTGTATCATGTTCATCATTGGTAATAGAATGTGTTTGCAGGCTAGAAGGAGCGAATGGCACTTTTAGTGGAATTATAAGAATTTCAAGTTGTCTAAATGTAATGCTGCAAATGGTTTTTGTAACTTTGAAAATGATTTAATATCTTGTCATCCAATGTATGATGCCGATTTTGCAATGTGTTTGTAACATTTAAATTTTGTTGGCAGTTGGTATTAGATATGGCCCGATTCACATCTATATTTACTATTATTTTGGTTGGTTTGAATCGCATCTCCTGTGACTGGAGTAGTGTTTCAATGATATGTATCACGGTTATACTTCTTATTTATTGTATTTGATAGATTAGTAACAGAATTCATTTTCTGTCATCCAAAAGTAGATACTGAGCAGTTATGAGTTTCTTTTGTAGGACCTTGGAGGTGGTTCGATGAATCTATGCTTGATTGTTGTGAGCCTTTGGAAAAGGTTAAAGAAAAAGGGATATCATTTGGGAAGCTTGTATGTTTGGCTCATTGTGCTGGAGCGAAAGTTGAAGCTTTCCGCACAAACCAAAGCACCTTGGATGACTTCCGCAACTTTATTGTGAGATGTTCCACTTCTGATGATTGTCATGTGATTTCATCATATCATAGGGCAACTTTTAAACAGGTGATATTCAACTTTATACTAAGGATATTTCCCAGCTCTTTCATTTGGTATAATGTTATTTAACAGATCAGTTCATGTGCTTGCGGCCTGGGATGTAATAATACTAGGCTTATTTTGTATTCATTGTATACTTTTTCATGCTGTGACAATGGGTGACATGCAAGCAATGTGAGCTTTTCTTCCACTTGAGATCAGCTGTCTTTGACATTGATTAGGTGTTTGTACATAATTGTGTTTATCATTGTAAATCATTTGAATATTATTGCATATATTGATCCTTGGTTAATCACTTAGTAGCTAGGCAATTAGGAATTACCATTCTCAAATATTATTTATCATTTATGTGTTAAGTCTTCCATTTTGATTATGATACCATGCTTTTGACTATCTATTCATTGACTTTTGCCAATATAAAATCAAGTGTATTGCATCCTTTCTACATCTTTTAAGTGGTGGATCCAATTGGCTATATATTTTGCAGACAGGCACTGGCCATTTTTCTCCTATTGGTGGTTATCATGCTGAAAGGGACATGGCCCTGATTTTAGATGTTGCTCGTTTTAAGTATCCTCCTCATTGGGTTCCTGTGACACTTCTTTGGGAAGCCATGGATAATGTTGATGAAGCAACAGGGCAACATAGAGGGTATGCATTTATATCTGCTTTCCAAATTAGTTGTCCAATGTTATCTAAGCAAAATGGCCTTAACAAGCAGCTTTTCTTGGGTGGGGAGGCTAGAGGAAGACTGAAATATTTTCAGAAATATGATTAAGTCGCATTCAAACATATGGAAGGTCGACCAGTAAATTAATTAGTTTACCAGATCTAGTGTATTTGTGATTCTGTTAAAAATGGTTGGTTACAGATTACTATAAGATACAGACATTGCTATAGGCTTGAGCTTCCTCAGCTTGTATGCATGCTTGCCTATATGTTGTAAGAAACTGGGAATGAGAGATGCTGCAAACTGCACTGCTGTCCCAAACTCTTTAGTTTTTTAAAAATTTTGAATCCTTTCATTTTTTTTTTCTGTATTATTATTGGGATACCAAGATGTTTTAATTGCTGATTCTCATTATGGTTGATCTATTTTTGCTAGGTTCATGCTAATTTCCAGACCTCACAGAGATCCAGGATTGCTTTATACCCTGGTAATTTTGTTATCTTTACAGTTTAAATTATACCTGCAGAAATGCTGCTATTCTGCAATTCTTCATATTTTGCCAATATGTATTTTCAAATGATTATTCAAACTTCTTTTCTATGTCTTTTCGGTGTATATGTGGGGTGGCTGGGTGGACTGATTGTTGAATGTTACAGTTAATATCATCAGCAGTAGAGTTAAGATGCATTTGATACAACACTAGAAACAAAAATTTATCACCAAAATACACTAGGCTTCTTTTTCTCATCATTAAACTAGCATTTGGGTGAACTGTTTATTTGTTTAGTGCTTATCCTCTAACAAGTGCAGTTAGGTGTGGTTTCTTGAATTTTGGTTTACTATAGGGGTTAACAACAAATTGTTTACATGTTTATTTGGTAAAATTGCATCTCTTCTGGATGGCAGATGCATCATGCATGTGCTGTGTGTTTGGTAGTGCTAGAGTGACTTTGTCTTGGATAGCTTTACACCTGCCTTGTTTTGAAAGTCTGTCTAGTCTTATGTTTGCCTGTGGGTTTACTCTGTATGATTTAATATATTAGAGCTGAAATGTTGAACTATTTCTATCTCTTTTCTGATGAGGGATTATATGTCTGTTCTTTACACAGAGCTGTAAGCATGAAAGTTGGGTCAAAGTTGCGAAGTATTTAATGGATGATGTTCCTAATCTTGTGAAGTCAGACGATGTGAAAGATGTTCATAAAGTTCTCTCAGTTGTTTTCTCATCACTCCCATCAAATTTTGAAGAGTTCATCAAGTGGCTTGCAGAAGTTAGGAGAAGGGAGGATGGTGGTCAAAATCTTAGCCAAGAGGAGAAAGGAAGGCTTTCTCTAAAGGTGCTGTAAAACTTCACTAGTCAGTCTTATTTTTCTTTTCCTTTAGTATTTGTGCAGTTTGCCATAGTTCTTTCTTAAAAGTTGTTTTGCCCTTCCAGGAAGAGGTGTTGAAACAAGTACAGGAAACCAGCCTTTTTAAGCATGTTGTAACATTTTTATCATCAGTGAATTCATGCTGCAGAAATGCACTGGCTTTAAGTCGTGAAAGTAATCTGCCTGACATTGCTGCCACAGTCTGTTGCCAAGGGGCAGAACTTTTGGATGGGAAGTTTGGTTCCCCAAAGAGGTATTGCTGTCGGGAAACATGTGTTACAAGCTTGAAGGCTAATGGTGACAAGCCTATTACCTTTGTGTCTGGGACAGTTGTAAATGGTAGCTCTGAGCAGGGGGTTGATGTGCTGGTTCCTTCATACCTGAAAAAGCTGAATTGTTGTGGCTCTAGCCCAACTAGTTGCATTGGGATTTACCCGGCTGGCAATGATGTTCTAACAGCTCTTCTGCTGGCCTTGCCTCCAGAAACGTGGGGTGGTATTAAAGATGAGAAGCTTTTGAGTGAAATGTATTCCCTTGTCTCCACCAAGAATCTTCCCATTTTGCTTCAGGAAGAGGTAACAACATAATAGTGGTCTATTTATCTTTCTGCTTCTTTTGCAACCTTTTGTGGATTAATTTATAAAATAAAATTACTAAATGGGCATGGTAAGGAAATAAGGTTTTGGTTGCTGCTATCATTCTTTTGACTTTTGAGTGAGAACATGTCCAAGTTTGGGGGATGGCATTTAACCGAGTGTCAGTTGCCTTCTGGATGCTCTTTGCACATGTCAGTTTTGTTGAGAACTAACTGCAATACGCGCTAGAGAAAAAACAATGTCCAGCATGAATTCCTTGATTTATTGCTGAATGCTTGAGCAATGTCTGGCAAGTTTACTAACTTACTGCAGCACAATGAGCTATGAATCTGTCTCTCAATGATTTTCTCACTACTCGCAAATTTTGGTATGGCAGGTTTTGCACCTTCGACGGCAGCTTCATCTTCTCAAGAAATGTCAAGAGAATAAGGTAGATGAAGATCTAGGTGCACCTTTATGCTAGCCTATTACACGATCTTCCCCTCGCGTACTTTTTCTTCTCTTCCTTTTTATCTTCATTTCTCTCTCCAATAGTATATATTGTTGGTAACAAAGTTAGATAGCACCATAGAAATGTGTTGCCCTTTTTAATACAGCCGGGGGGCAAGTAATGCTACCCCTGTGACGGAAATATCATTGTTACGAGGCAAGGGGAGTTTCCGGGGACCTCAAGACAAAGTGGAAAGAAACGTCATTCAGAGGCAGTAACCTTTGAAGCAATTCCATGTTTTGGGAGTGGTATGGATGCTGCATCACGATGAAGCAATTTTCCTACTTATCTGCAAAATGTTGGTGCAATAAACTGCCCTTATCTCATGACCATACATCCAATGAAGACAAATTTTATTTTTTATTTTAACAAAAGAATGTGAGATGCTATTATCCTAATATTAGCTCCATTTCGCAATTAATATTGGTATATAATTGTAGAAAAATGAAAATTCTAGAATTAACTAGTATTCATTTTCCGCTATGTGTGGTTAATTAAATTGTTTTGTCATTTTATTTAATAAAAAATTTTATCATTTGAATCACATTTAAAAATATTTTTTAACCTAAAAATTTTTCATCAAATTAATTGTTCATGATTTCTAAGAATTTTATTATAGGATTTATTATTTTTTTTAATTTTTTAAAAGGTCTAAATTTTAATTCCCAATTTTATTTTATTACTTTTATAAATTTTTCTCATTTATTTTTTACTATTTGAAATTAAATGTCAATTATCATTTTTAAAATTTTATCTAAAATTTCTCATCATTTAAGTCAATTTTAAAAAATATTTTCATATAAAAATTTCATAAAAAATAATAATTCGTGATTTCTACAAAATTCATTTTTTGAAATATTTTTATTTATTTTCAAAATTTTTATCATCTTTGAAATAATATTTTTTTTCAAAATTTTAATAATTCTATTTTGGCTTGGAGATTAATGTCAATTATTTTTATTAAATTCTTTCTAAAATTTTCCATAATTTGGGTAATATTCAAAAATATCTCATAATTTTTTTAAAAAATTAACCATTTTTTATTATTAAATATTTTATTATTTATATATTTTATTTGTTTTAAAAATTTTAATACATTTTTTTTCAAAATTTAAAATTTATTATTTTTTAACTAATCAAAACCTATCCTAATTTAAAATTTAAATAAATAATAAATTTACAAAATAAAAAAATAATTAAATGAAAACAAAACAAAATAAAATAAAACAAACAAATAAAATTAAATATAATATAATAAATAATAAATAAGGGTATAATGACAATTTAAAAATATTAAACGAGCGTCGCATATTAAAACCTTCAAAGGATTTTTTTAATATAGATGCTTTTATTTAGATACAAATTTTGAGAGTGAAATTAAAAAGTCGTAATGACCTTCGCATTAACATGTGTGCACTTTACCGCTTATTATTTTCAGCAAATGCTTTTCTTTTATTTTCATTAATTATCTGACAATAATTATTTTTATACGCAAACTTCACTCTAATACTTTCCTGATATTTTTTTGACATTGTGGAGTGAAGTTTATTCAACGTAAAATCCTAGTATTATATTAAAGTTTTGAAAATTTCAAAAATAAATATAATAGAAGATATTACCAATAAAGTATAATAAGTGGAAAATATCATTTTTTTCAAAAATCCAAATTTCTTAAGCCAAAAAAAAAAAACAAAAACTAAAATAATTAAAATAGTCATAAAAAAGTTTTATTCATTTTCAGTTTTTTTCCTCTCTTGATGGTTTTTCATCCATTTTCTTTTTGGACCCCCTCCCTTTGTATGACTTGTTTTTTTGTATATCCAATCGATTATTATTAAAACATAATAAATAATTATAAAATAATTATTTTTTATCTTTTTTTTTATAATTTATCTTTCTTTTATTTCTCTAAAAAGTCCATAAAAAGAAATGTTATTTGCTTAACCATGAAGTGATGTTGTATAATCTTAATAAATTCAGATACAACATAGTGATACGATATAAAAATGATATAAAAAATTATATATATGTTTTAAAAAAATATGTTTCGTATTTATTCATGTTGATACGAATTTCGATACAATATAATTTATGTTATATATATTTTGATTTATCTAAATGCGTGACACGATACAAATAACACTTTTGATTTAATCTCTTTATACAAATATATATTTAATATTTTTAACACATTTATTACATTTTTATATTTATTTTAATTTAATATATACATATAAAGATTATTTTAATTTTAAAGCTTTTAATTACGATACTTAATTAGTTATTTAATTTCATATAAAAATTTATTTTAAACATTTAATTATAATATTCATTTAATAATTATTATAACATTATTTTTATATTATATTAATAATAAAAATAAAATATTAATATTAATATTAGTCTTATATATTATTATTTTATTTTTTAATTTTTAATAGTTGATTATTTTGAATTTAATATTAAAAATGAATATAATTATGTAATATAAATTAAATTTTAAATATATATATATATATTAAATACATAGTAAATGAGTATTAAATTTTTTTATTTTTTTAATATGTAAGTATTTTTTTATATTATTAATATGTCAAATTTATTAAGTTGTAAATGATAAATAGTTTTTAGTTATTTATTATTTTAATTATATTTTTGTATATAGTAGTGTTAATCATCTCTATTCATGTATATCCATGTTAATCGTATTTATTTATATATATCCATATTATTCGTGTTTATTTGTATTATATTTAAACTAATTAATTATACACATATTAATTATATTGTGTCACATGTAATATTATATTAAATGTGTCATATTCGTATTTATGATTTAAATATTTTTATAATTCATGTTATATTTATATTTTAATAATTTATATCATTACACATATCAAATATAACATAAAATATAATATAAAAACACAATTATCATATATAATGTTGTACATATCTTCTCTCTTCCTACCCTTATTTCATTACTAATAAAGTATAATATATGGAAAATATCTTTTTTGTTCAAAAATCCAAATTTCCTGAGCCAAAAAAAAAAACTAAAATAATTTAAAAAGTCATAAAAAATAAAAATTTATTCATTTTTAGTTTTTCCTCTTAATAGTTTTTCACCCATTTTCTTTTTTGACCCCTCCTTTGCATGACTTGTTTTTTATATGTCCAATCAATCATTATTAAAAATATAAATAAATAAATATAAAATAATTACCTATTTTCTATCTTTTCTTTATAATTTCTCTTCCTTCTACTTGTCTAAAAATTCCAAAAAAGAAAGTTATTTCCTTAACCATGTGATGTTGTACAGATCTTCTCCCCTTCAATTCTTATTTCATTGCAAAGGGGTTTTTTTGCTCTTAAACCTTTTCTTTTAATTTTTTACTGTTCAATTTTTTAAAAGTTTAAAGAAGTCATAAGATTAAAGATTTAGATAATTATAAGATTTTTTTTTGAAACAGTATCTCCTAATCTTGCTGGAGTTTATGGCTTTGTTCCCTGTCCCAGTGTTCCGCGGAACCGACTGTCACCTCCTCACAAGCCACTAAAGCCGACCTCACGAGACCTTAACGTTCCTGGCTCTTTGCTCCCTGATCTATGTCTCGTCTATGTTTTATCTATTGACATTGTTTGATCAATTTTTTTTTCGTTTGTTTGCATTTGAATGTTATTATTGAGATTTGACTGATAGAGCCTCAAATCTAACTTTATTAGAGGATTTTTTTTTCTTTTAATGGGTGTAGTATTTTTTTTTTAATTTAACCTTTGAAATTCTGACAGAAGTCATTGGCATCTTGCTATTCCCTTTTCCTAAAGAATTTTAATTTTAATTTTAATATTTAAAGCAATGTGAATAGCATAAATTTTTTGGAATTGAATTTTTATGAAATTTGGTTTGATTGTTGTATTTGGTTAGAGGGAAGAAAAAATTTCAGGTTGTATAAAAGGACTAAAATATCTGATTTGGTTATAGGTGTGAATCAATTAAGTTTAGTTTGGACAGGTATAAAATACATTTTAAAATAAATTTTAATTAAAGGAGATTATTTTTATTTTTTATTATATAATTTTTTATTTTGATCAAGGGATAAAATGGTTTTTTTATTCTTAAACAGGTGTCATTCAACGAATCTATGGGTTAGTTTTTGTACTGACAGATCTATTGTATAGATGTAATGCACTTGGAGTTGACTGAAGTCCAGGTTCGCGTTCAGTCCACGCGGATTAGACACGTGGTTGGTTGGGGTCATTTCTTAATATGTATCCTGACCACACCGTAACGGCAACTACTTCTACTGCTAGTCTACTGCGGTTTCGAAAGTCACAATTAGAGAGGGCAAAAAAAAAAAAAAAAAAAAGCGGCATAGACAATGGCGTTAGCGGGTCTTTACAGAAGAATTCTTCCCTCTCCTCCTGCAATCGAGTTCCCTTCTCCGGAAGGAAAGGCATGTACAGAAGAAAACCCTAATTTCTCTCTTTCTCTTTGTCTTTCTCTAATCTTTTTAAATCTTTATTTATTATTATTTTTTAAAAAAGTTTAATTGTAATTTTTTTACAGCAACTGTTCACGGAAGCTTTAGCAGGAGGAACTGCGGAAGGATTTTTCAAACTGATATCATACTACCAAACGCAATCGGAGCCTGCGTATTGCGGACTTGCCACCCTCGCCATGGTCTTAAACGCCCTTGCCATAGATCCTGGAAAAATCTGGAAAGGTAATTTCCTTTCCCTTTTTTCCTTTTTTCTATGTAATTAAATTTCTTCCTTCAATTTAATCAGGGCCTTGGAGATGGTTCGATGATTCGATGTTAGATTGCTGCGAGCCTCTGGAGAAAATCAAGAGTCAAGGCGTCACTTTTGGGAAAGTCGCTTGTTTGGCTGTTTGCAATGGTGCTCAAGTTGAACCTTTCAGGACCGATCAATCTAGTCTTGACGACTTTCGGAAACGCGTGATTTCGTGTACTTCTTCCGAGGATTGCCATTTGATTGTCTCATATAACAGAGCAGTTTTCAAGCAGGTAATCATTTCGATTACCCACAATTCAATATATATTAACTTATTGACCTTTTTTTTTTCTTTAAACCTTTTTTTGCGTCTTACCCATTTGAAATGGTAGCTGGTTGCAGACAGGAACCGGTCATTTTTCGCCAATAGGGGGTTACCATGCCGGAAAGGATATGGTTCTGATTTTGGATGTTGCTAGATTCAAATATCCTCCTCATTGGGTTCCTCTTTCGCTTCTTTGGGACGCTATGAATACTATCGACAAAGACACCGGACATCACAGAGGGTAATCTGATTTTTTTCCTCTTCATAAAGTTAGGCTTTGAATGGTTGTTACTTTTATTACCTGTTACTTTTTATTTATTTATTTTTTTGTTTCTATGCGAGTATGCTCAACTTGAATTTGCATATTGTTTGAAGTTTCTAACTTTATTTTACAATCTACCCTTTATTGGTTGATTGGATTGTTGTAAAATATGTCAGATCTCAAACTCGCTAGCTTGTTATTAGTTATTACTACCTTCCTGTTGTGATTTAGATGTTAATATTTGCTAATCACAACTCAGGCTTGCTTTCTGCAGGTTCATGGTTATTTCAAGGCTTCAGAAAGCAACATCTGTTCTTTACACTGTGGTACTTTAATTTATCATTGGCAGCTCAGTCCCGTCTAACTCCATCTTTATGTCTTGATAGAAATCCTTTACAATAGTCTTTCTTTCTCCTCAAGGATCAGTTTAATAAATAATGACAGTTGAAAGAGAATAGTAACAAATTGTGAAATTTGATTCATTATTAAGTGGCATTAAAATTTTGAATATGCTCTTTAATATAACTTAATGCAAATTTGAACCTGGGACACATGTAGGGGAGCTTAAAATCTTAAACTAAAAATAAGATTTTAGTTCTTATAATATGATAAATATTACATTCTTTGCTGTTGATATTTGTGATCCTTTTCCATCTCTATGTACGTTTCAAATCTTGAATTGTTTTTTGTTTTGTTCCTTTCATTATGTTCGTTAGAACTCCGTTGTTCAAAGAGGTGATAAGTGTTACTGCATCCATTGTGGATCAAATGCAGAGCTGTAGACATGAGGGTTGGAACGCAGTTGCTAAGTACTTGACAGAAGATGTTCCCCTTCTGTTCACTTCCAAGAATCTAAATGATGTTGATGATGTATTATGTGTTGTATTTAGATTAGCACCTTCCAATTTGCGAGATTTTATCCAGTGGGTTGCAGAGGTTCGGAGACAGGATGATGGCGGTACCGTATTGAGTGAAGAGGAGAAAGGAAGGCTTGCACTCAAGGTATGATGGGCATATTTGTTTATCTTTCTCTGCACTACCATTTATCTTTGCTGTTAATTCCTCCTTTTGAAGAGTGTGAATTTTCAATTTAGAGCTTCACTTATTTTGATTTCTTTCCATGACTTGGAAGAGAAAGTAACAAAAAAGTTACTAATTTGAAATTTCAGGAAGAAGTATTAAAACAAATACGAGAGACTGAACTATTCAAACATGTGACGAGATATTTGGCATTTGAGAGCTCGTTGTGTAAAAATTTGGCACCTTCAGGTTACAAAGATGGGTTAGCTGACATTGCTGCAAATGTTTGTTGTCAAGGAGCAAAACTTCTAACTGGGAAAATCAGGTCAGCAAATGGATTGTGTTGTAAAGATATGATTGTAAAACTTCTAAAAGCTGAGAGTAAGGAAGCTGTCACAGTGGTTTCAGGCACAGTAATCACTGATGGCACTGAACAAATGGTTGATATGCTGATCCCATCATCTCAAACAGAGCCCAGTTGTTTTTGTGATTTTGACCAAAATAGTTGTTGTGGTATACATCCATCAATAGGGGATGGTCTGACGGTACTTCTTTTCTCCCTGCCTCAAGATACCTGGCTGGGCCTTAAAGAGGAGAAGCTACAGGCAGAGATGAAGGGCCTTACATCCGTTGACAGTCTGCCAACTTTGCTCCAAGAGGAGGTAATGTCTGGTTCCTTTTTTTTAATGAAATTCTTAGTATTTCCTTTTAGGCATAGACTTTATCGGTTTTTCTTTAATCATTTTCCAATGGAGTTAATTACATTTTGGTATCTCAACTTTGAGAAAATATACAAATTGATACCTAAAGATATAAAATATACCAGTTGCACCTAAACTTTCAAATTATGTATCATGTTAATCTAAATTCTAATATCGCAAATCATATTAGCTTGTATATGTGATGTTTGACAAATATGATCAAGTTATGTGTTCATCACATATATTATCAATATTTTTCAATATAAATTAAAAATATATTTTTTATCTGAACCATAAAAATATTTGTTAAGGATTGGTCAATTATTGTTTGTCACATGACATTCACATAATATCTACGGAGATTTTACAAAATATTTAACACTTCTTTTTTACAAATGATAAGCATATAACAAAATTATATTGATTAGATATCATATAAGCACGTTAACAGTATTAGAATTTGGATTAAAATGATATATTAGAATTTGTCCATCTTAGGGGGTCAAATAAGAGACATCAAAGTTATGAACCACGTACTAAGTGGTGGAACTTGAAAGGGGACAAAATGACAGCGTTTAGGGATAGATTAGTAAAAGAATTTGATTAGAATACCAATGAGGATGTAGAAGTAATGTGGGAAAATGTTGCAGTTGAAATTTAAAGGGTTGCTAAAAAGACACTTGGGGAATCTAAGGGTAAGGCACATTAGGAAAAGAATTTTGGTGGTGGAACGAGGATGTGAAAAAGGCAATTAAAGCTAGGGGGGAGTGTTATAAAAATTTATGAAATAATAGGGTTGAGTAGAGTTATTGGAAGTATAAGACAACAAAAAAACAAACCAAGAAGGTTATTCAAGACTCAAAGAGTAAGATCCATGAGGTGTTATATAGAAAACTAGAGACAAGAGTTGGAGAAAATGCATTGTTCAAAATTGCTAAGAAAAGGGATAAGAAGAGTAGAGATCTTAATTGCATTAGATGCATCAAAGGCAAGGACAGAGGAGTTTTAGTGAAGGATGAGGAGATTAAAAGAAGATGGAGAGATTATTTTAATAATCTCTTTAATAACAGTTTTAAGCATGATATAGGTGGGTTGTACATACCTTCACAGAATGTAAATTGTGTGTTTAAGCGTAATATTAAAAGCTATGAAGTTAAAAAGGCTTTGAGAATGATGAGAGTAAAGAAAGCTGTAGGACCCGATGATATCTTGATCGAAGTCTGAAAATGCTTGGGTGAAATGGGGATAAGATGGTTGACGGATCTTTTCAACAAAATTTGGCATACCCAAAAGATGCCAAAAGAATAAAAAAAGAGCACTCTTGTGCCTTTTTACAAAATAAAGGTGATGTACAATATTGTGTGAACTATCGAGGAATAAAACTTACAAGTCAGACTATTTGGAATAGAGTAATTGAATTTAGGTTATGATGTGAGATCATTAATTTCGAAAACTAATTTGAGTTTATGCGAGGATGTTCTACAATAGAGGCGATCTACCTTTTGAGGATTTTATTAGAGGGTTTTTGGGTGAGAAATAAAGATCTACATATGGTATTTATCAACTTGGAGAGCGTATACGATAGAGTTTCTCGAGAAGTGCTTTGGTAGGCCTTAATGAAAAAAAGAGTACCTTTAAAGTACATCAACATAGTTAAAATGTGAGAATGGTTGGGGGCATGACAGATGGCTTTCTTATTACCTCAGGATTACATTAAGGCCCAGCATTAAGTCCTTTTCTTTTTGCATTAGTTATGGATGAACTCATATCACATATTCAAGATAAAGTGTCATGCTGTATGTTGTTTCTCAATGATATAATCTTAGTTGCTGAAACTTGTGATGCCCTTAATACGAAATTAGAATTATGGAGTACATTGGAGTCTCAAGGTTTTAAATTAGGTAGATCTAAAATTGAATATATGGAATGCAAATTTAATAGTCACAAAGAAGTAAGTATTAGTGTGATTAAGTTAGATGGTGAGGGAGTATTAAAGAGTAGCCAGTTTTGATATTTGGAATCAATTATTCAGAGTGATACTGAAATAGAAGCAGATGTCAAACATAGGATTTAAGCATGATGGGTGAAGTGACAAAGTGCTTTGGTTTGTGTGATCGCAACTTGCCTTTAAAGTTAAAAGCGAAATTGTATAAAACAACTATAAGGCTTACATTATTATATGAAACTGAGTGTTGGGCTGTTAAGAAACAACATGAAAAGAAAATGAACATAGCAGGGATGAGGATGCTTAGATGGACGTGTGGTAAGATTAGAAGAGATAAAATCATAAATGAATAGATTCAAAGAAAAATTAAGGGTTAGTTCGAATTGAAGAAAAGATGAGATAAGTTGGTTTGCAATGGTTTGAACATGTGAAACGTAGGCCTAGCTGACACCCGTTAAGAGAATTGAGTCTTTAGATCTAGCAAAACATCTAAAGGTAGATCACGAAAGATATAGATGTAAGTAATAAAGAACGATATGAGGGTTAAAAAATTAGATGAAAAGGTGATTGTTGATAGAAATGAGTGGTGCAAGAAGATTCAAATTATAACCTAACTTGATTCTCTTATTTGGTTTTTTATATGGTCGATCTCGGAGTATGAGATATAAGGCTTAGTGTGTTGTTGTATTATTTGAAAGTTTATGGTGCAAATTGTGCATTTTATTTCTTTAAATGTCAATTTGTATGTTTTCTCAAAGTTCAACACCAAAAGTGTAATTAACTCTTTTTCAATGACTTCTAGGTGCCATCATCATTAGAGCCGATGAATCTTATTGTGTAAAATATTGATAATTCGTGTATTTTTATCGTATTTTATATAAAAATTACATGTGATAATTTATGTAGCTATAAAAATGTAAAATACATTTTTTTAAAAATTTTGATAAACTTATATGGTTTTTAATAAAATTTTAAATCATTTCATTTTGTATCTTTGTTTGTATTATTTTTATATGATATCTTTATTTCATGTTTTAAATTACGAAGTATGATGTATTAAATTGCGAAGTATGATGTAGACAACTATTTTGGCCACTAAAGGCAGGTCACAGATCCTAACAAAAGGTACATAGGCTTTTGGTTAAGAATTCAATTTTCACGGTCATGCCTGATTCATATTGGTTATTCAATTGCAATAAATCTTGTTTAATTAAAAGTAAAATTTCATCTCAAAGATGTCTGTCTGTCCTATTATGACCTTGACAGGTTCTGCATTTGCAACGACAGCTCTCTTTCGTCAAGGCTGATCTCAATATGCCACCCTCCTCTTCTTGATTTTTCCTTAGACAAGCATGTCCAAGAACGCTAGACAAACTTCTGTATTGGATTCATTATGAAAGTCGTTTAGTTATATGCAAACCTCATTTTCTTGTGCGCTTTTAATATCCAGAGAATTTCTATGTATTATAGAATATATTTTATAATTATGGTTATGAATGTTTGGTGGAAAATAATTTTTTAAAAATGATTTCTAAAAAATATTTACATTTTATGAAAAATTAAAGATTTTTTGTTATTTGGGTGAGTTAATGAGAGATGTATTTGGTTATTTTTTTAAAATTTTTTTCAAATAATATTAATATAACTTTTAAAATATTAAAAATTATTTATTATTAAATTATTAATATTAAAAACAATTATATTTTAATAATAATATTTAATATTAAAATATTATGTTAATATAAGAAATACTAAAAATGATAATATAATAGTATTTATTCTTAAAATATTAAAATTTTAATTTTAATAATATAAAAAATTAAAAAATTAAAATTAAAATATCAAAAGATTTTTATTGTTAATATTTTAATTAAAATTAAATAAAATATTTATATTAATATAATAATATTTAAGTAAAATCAAATTCAATTTCGATTTAAAATATTATATTCAAAACTTTACTTGAATAGAATTATAAAAGTATTTAACATTATAATATTAAAAAAATTTTAAGGTTAATATTAATATTAAATTTTTAAATAAAATTAAATAAAAATATTATTTATTAATATAATAATATTTTAAATCGAATCAAATTAAATTTAAACTTAAAAAGTTATGTTCAATGTTCGATAGGAATAAAATTACGCTTAATAGTATTGTTAAGTAATTTTATTTGTAGATAGTTATTTTACAAAAAATATCTTTTCCTTTTCAAAAGTGTAAGACAATTTAAAATATATATTATTTTTAATTAATCAATAAGTTATTTTACGTTGATCAGTTAATTTTTTTCAAATAAATATTTAAAAATATAAAAATTATTTTTTACTAAACAAATGGAGTCTAAATTTATTAGTTTTTACCAAAATTTCAATATTATTTTATTCTAATTACCAAACTTGGCCTTTCAATTCCCCTGCATCTTAATTCCTAATTGAATGCTAGGCAGGCGTTTCTGACAAGTGCCACAAACAATTGGTTTCTTCATTGTAGCAGCAGCAAAAAAATACTCTATTATTCTAAACAATCAGTTAATATTTTTGTTTGATAGAGTTAAAAAAAAAAATGCTCTTGCTGGGAAGCCTTGAACAACAAAACGAACTAAACAACTAAAATTCCTCGTATTCATTCACCTAATCAAGTCAAGCCTCCAGCCAATTAACTAAAAACTATTCTCTCGAGCAATTGTTACGCTGATGAAAGCTAAGTCAAATAAAACCAATAAATAAAATTCCTAGTAAAGACAGAGTTCAGCACCAAGCATGTTGCCTCTGTAGAAGGGCCAGAAGAACGACCAAGATCTACCACCAAATTTCCACCTTAGATCCCAAAGATTCCTCAAAGCAGCCTCATAGTGCGCCAAATTCAGCGTATCCTCAGCCTCGTGCTCAAGTTCTTCATCATCATCGATGTAGATAAGCCTTTGTAGCTCATACGGAATCCCACATATTTGTTCAATCTTTTGCTTCACAGTTTTGATATCAAAGGAAGGTTTCGGGTTTACCTTTGTGGTTGTGCCATCTGCTCCTGTCACATTTATTTGAACCAGTTTGCCTAGAGAAAGAATACATCTAGACAAATTAATTCCGTATTGAGCCAGCATTTTGTTGCCTAATAATGGATTGTTGTTGTGGAAGAGACATGGCTGACCATAAATCTTTTCTATCTCCTCTTCAGGGATCCGACTCAAAATTTCATTGATGGTATCTGTGTTTCTGGCTTCAATCAAAATGTTGTCCTTGTTCTTGTCCCCTTCCTCTCCACTAGGCACATTGATAATTAACTTCACTGGAGAACCTCTGAGTTCCAGATAAACTTTGTCCCTATTTTTAAGATTGTAATCTGATAGATGCTTCCAATCCTTGAGTTGCTGATGTTGGTGAACTAACTCCTGCACACAAATTGGCACTCCAAGCTGGCTCTCAATGACGGTCTTGACATCTAAAATTGTATACCACTGTTTCACATTGATGTCACAAAATAATAAACCAAAATACATTATATGCAGAGACACTTCTTTGGTTTGATCATCGGATCCAATTATCGCATAAACCACAGAATCCCCATCAATGCCGAAGGCTTCTAGAATTTGGGAATCCTCAAGCAACTGGCCTTGGTAAACAAGATTTTGGCTGTTATGTGGGATCCCCAACTTCTCAAATATACCATCCTTGATATCACTGACATATTTGATTCCTTTGGCTTTGAGATAAACTGTATCCCTAACTTGTGGCATCTTTATGGTAAACTTTGGTGACAAGCCAAGTACATAAAGTTCAGAGCCCTCGTTCATGGAGTGAAACCCTAGAGTTTTATCATCCTCTTCAAGCCTGGCCATATTCTTTTTATGGAAAAGAGTCTGTTGATTCAGTGCGACATCAGTAACTTTCTCAATCATCTTCTTGACATCATATAGAGTACTCGATTTGCTTACCATAAGTATTCTTCCAAACCACTACCACTAACCCTTATATCAAAACTTGCAAGATCTTGTTCCAACCAGGTAATAAACGAGTCCTGGTCATTGTCGGCCAACGCAGGAGTCACGACGAGATAACTAGGCAACTCGTTGTGAAAAAGGTCGATGTGATCATCGTTATATAAAAGCTTTCCACCGTGTTTCAGCAAACACTTATCCAATAACATTAAACCCGTCAAGCTTTACATGAAAGTCTTGACATGTCGAGACGTGTACCATGGTTGCACCTCCACCGTTACAGGCTTCCAACAGGGCACCTTCACAGTCACCTTTGAACCACACTGTTTGGGATGGTTCGGACCCATGGGACAAATAAAAACATACAGGATTGACCCATTCCCGATCTTGTTTGCTGCTAAAGTTTTGTTGTCTTCTGGTTCTGTTCCATTGTGGATTATATTTGCTGATTAGGTGTAATCCTCTCCTTCATATCAATTAGTGCCTTGACATGCCATACCGTGTCATAGCTTTTCATGGCCTGCAGCTTCATGGTTTTCGCGTCTGATAAGGGCGAAACCAACTTGACGACGATTGAGATGGTGTTGTGGCGATCAATGCCGCAGCTTTGTGCAGGTTCCATGCCTTTCACTAGGCAACTTTCGCATGAACAAATTAGTTTCATCTTTTTTTTTTTTTTTTTGGTGAACAAACTAAAATATACCCTAAGACTTTGCTTCATGTATTAATTTAAAGTAGTTTTAGAGTCTGTTTACCACTTTATATTGGAGTCGAAGAAAATCAGAATATACCCTTAACTTTAATTCCGAGAGTAAAAACAATTTAGCCCTAAAACTAAAACGTTAAAAAAAGCTGATCCGACGTTATCGGCCAATAGTAAGCCGCTCGTGGTCATTGGATGCCAAGTCAAACGACACATATGTCAGTAGTGGGGTCCACGTCCATGTCATCATTAATTTTGGGGAAATTTGAGATTTTTAACAAAGTTAAAAAAAAGAAAAGAAAGAAAACTCGTGGAACCAACGCCTCCGCGTATCCTTCTTCTATGGTCTGCTTCTTTACCCATTTAGTCCATCTTATAGAAATTTTCTAAATGGGTTAATGTTTAAATAATATTTAAATTATAATAAAATATTTATTGTATTATTTAAATTATAAAAACTTATAATATAATATATAAATTATAATTTGTTAATTAATATAATATTTATTTTTAATATGATTACTTTTAAATAATAACATATAAAAAATAAATAATTTTTTAAATATTACGTTAATTAATATATTTATAATTTAAATATAACATTAAAAATTTTAAATTCAAAATCATATTAAATAATTTAAAAACTACTCATAATATTATAGATTTTTTAAATACATCTGCGGGTCCTAATAACAAAACGTAATGTGTCAAGCCTTAGGCTCAACATGCTGGCCACAATTCGGGCAAACTCAGGGTCACTGCAATGACATGGGCCCAACACTCACAACATAGCATGGGTGTAGTCTAGATGTAATAATTTTAAACATGATACCATCTTACAAATTTTCCCTTTTTGTTTTGCTGACATTTCTAATTAACAGCTTGATGCATATTCCAGGGTGTTGCTTCAGAAAATGCTCATGAATCTATCTTACACAAAGGCCATCTGAGAAGACTAATACCACTTGTGAATTAATATATATATTTGCCTTCTCATTTATTCTTCTTTGTTTCCTGTGACAGCGTTGAAGATAGCTATATCAGATGTTAATTTGTTCATCTCATCCAATCCATCTGTTAATTAATTAATTATAACACTGGGAAATATGCAAACGGTGTAACCTGCAAATTTGACCACCCAAGAAGATAGGACAAAAGTCAAAAGTAGGCAGAAGCAATTGATAAACTTATTGCATTTGTTATTTTTGTGATTCAAAACGTGTGAAATCAAATAAAATTGTAGGTTTGAATCAATTTACTATATCCATTCTTCGATTGTATCAAACAAAAATGCTGAAAACCTATCCAGGAAGGTAGGTTCCATATCTGTTGGAAGAAATGCTTGTAATCGATTTACTGCCATATATAAAGCTACTGTTATCAAAATTTTCCTTCTTCTGTTTTACGTATGTTGGATGAAATACTCGCAATCATGCTCACCCTTGAAGATCCCATCATTACATTTGAGGTAACAATATATATCACAAGTTCTGTTCTAATTTCTAAAGCTGAAAGCTTCAGTTCATTTGATTTTATAATATTCTCCTGCACTTCTGATAGTCATCAAATTCAAGAGAAATTTGTTCTTACAACTTTCTTAATTTTATTTTGCAACTATTGGAAGAAATGCTAGAATATTGACCTGAACCCAGAAAACAAAAAAACATTGAAACAGAAGCCAGTTGCCTGCTATACATTTTTGTATTTGAAATGACTAAATAGAGATAAGAAGTTGCCCATTCCAAAGGAAAACAAAAATAAGGGGATCAAAGCGTTTCAACTACAATAATGAAAAAATCTATCAAAAGATAGGACGGCCACAACAGGAAGAAGTTGTGCGTCCCGTTTCGATTGGATTTCTTTTGCTGGCCCATATATGTCTTGTCTCAATCTTTCAATTTCCACCATCAACGGCTCGTCTCTATAATATGTCCTTTTTCAAGAGTAAATATTTTATATTATCTCATTTCGATTCTAATTCTATCCACCGTTTCAACTTCTATACTGTCGGTGTACTTCATTTCAAACAGTAATTAAGTTGAGCGACGAGCAATGACCTTGTTTTTTCTTTTTTTTTTTGGTACTTTCTCATTTCTTTTTCTTCCAAAGCATGTACTTATTTCCTTTTCTTTTATTGAAAAAATATATGTTCTTTCCTTCTATCTCCCTACTGCCTCTACCTCTACATAAGTATTGTTGCATTCTCTGTCACTTATATTCTCTAACCACTTTTAGCAACAAATCTTCAAATTTTTTATAATTAAATTTGTTAGGATTCACTTATATTCTCTTTCCAATTTTAGCAACAAAACCTCAGTTTTTTTTTTATAATTAAAATTATTAGGATTTAATCTTAATTAATATAATTAAAATTTTAATATTTTATTAATAAATTATGTTACTATTTGATAAAAAAAAAAACTATACACTCATCATTGTCAATGAAGTTTTACTTCAATGACAGAAAGAATAATTGAAATCTTTAAGTTTCAATTTTAAATTTTATCATACATTAGTTTTATTTAATTATATGTTGATTTTAAAATTTTATTTATTAATTTTTTTAAATATACTAATTATATGTTATATATGTTGAGTAATACTTCATTGAGTTGTAATTTTACTGGTAATCATGGTTTTATTTGATCCACACTTAAAATGGGACGAATGGAAAAGGACCACAAGTTTGGATTTCGTTTGCATTCTGCCTAAAATTGTAATATTCTTCCAGAGTAAAATACCAAGGAAACTAGCCGTCTAATCAATCATTAATAATTGAACCATACGTTTTCACATGCAGCACGTCCAAAGATTAATTAATTAATTTTTAGGGGGGGGGACCCTTAGGTACCTAATTGTAATTAAAGTCATCAATATTTTTAGGAAAGGCCAATTACTAGTTGACATGGTGTCATTTAAAACAGGGCATCCACCATATTTTAGGAATGTAATGAGAGTTAGAACAAAATAAAACAAAGGCACCCTACGGCCCTACCTTAGCCTCGTAGTCGAGAGGCATATAAAAAAACAGAAGACCTCTTTATTTCTACAGGCGAAGTGTGCCTTTAGGCTTTATTTAAACAGGAAAACGCCGACAACCGATCTCTTTCTATCATAGCTCGAAGCCATTGAATTTCTATCAAGCAAAGCAGAAGAGTTTAGTGAATAGGTGGAGAAAACACGATGGAAAGAAAAGAGGAGTGTGGTCATCCTTTGCTGAGAGGGGGTAGGAGAACGAGTAAATACACCCATGGTTTCTCTTCTGCTCAGATCCAATCACTTGCTGCCATTTGTGAAACTTTCGTCCCTTCCCTGCCAATTGATACCATCAACAACAAGGATAGTTCAGCTGACCAGGCTGCCCTTCAGGCTTTCTATCAAGCTTCTGGGGCTGAGCCCCCAGTTCCCGATGAGGTAAAAATCTCGTCTTCCTTATCTCTTTTTTCTTTCAAAAGTAGTTGTCCTTTATATGGTTATAATTACAGTTAAAAACATATATTTTTTGTTTTCCAAATGGGAAACAGGTGGCAGAGTTGATGGTGAAGAGGGGTCAACCCAAAGCTATCTCCTTTGTTAAAGTGGTTTTGACAGTTCTCTCCTTCAGATTGGGCACACTGTTGCTTTGTGGTTGGCTTTGCTGTGACTGGACATGGCCATTCATTCACAAGTTTTCAAAAATACCCGTGGAAAGGAGAGAAAAAATCCTCATGAAATGGTCAGGGCAAGCCCATCCGTTACCTCTAAGAGCTGTTTTTGCATTGATCAAAACCTTCTGCTTGTTCATCTTCTTCTCCATGGTAATTGATCTTTTTTTTTTTTTAATCTCATCTGTTCTTTTCGTTTGTATGAGACTAGGGTGGAACTAAACATTGATTCCATAAGCCAAATAATAAAACAAGGAAAGGCTACAAAAAAATATATTAGGAAAACCCTAAACCCAAGGAATCGAGAAGATATTGATATTTGATGTATTTTGTCCTCACAATAATGAACAATGTCACTTTTTCACTGTTTCTCTGCTATAAAAATCAAACCCTGTCTGGCTGATTTATGTTGATGTCACAAATTAAATGCTTCACTAGAGAAATAGCATACACTTGACTGAGTTCAAGCAAAACCTATCAAATACTTCGAATTGAAGAAATTGATTGTAATTATATGCTTAAACCTGAGTCCAAGCAGCGTAGAGTGTAGATAGCAGTAAATAACATAGTACCATGCGATGTAGTGATACTGTGCACTCATTTTCTTCCGATTATTACCATCTCGAAGCTTTGAAATTTCTCTGTTGCAGACCGATGAAAAATCAGAAAACCCAGCATGGAAAGCAGTAGGATACAACGTAGACAACAGGCAGAAAAAGGCATATCCTCAAGGGCGACCACTTCAAAAGGGCATCATAGAAACAATGCATGAAGATGATTCAACCTTAGTCCAATCTCTCACTGAGAAAGGCCTTGAAGTGATGGAAGATGCAGAGCACAACGTCTACAAGATCAAATGTGATGTAGTGATAGTTGGTTCTGGTTGCGGTGGAGGGGTTGCTGCAGCAGTTCTTGCAAGCTCTGGCCAGAAAGTGGTTGTTGTTGAGAAAGGGAATTATTTTGCAGCAGAAGACTATACGTCTTTAGAAGGTCCATCTATGTTTGAGCTTTATGAGTCTGGAGGAATTTTGGCAACCATGAATGGAAAAATCATGATCATGGCTGGGTCAACAGTAGGAGGAGGCTCAGCTATTAATTGGTCTGCGTCATTGAAAACACCGAAGAATGTTCTCAAGGAGTGGTCTGTGGATCATAAGATTCCATTCTTTGGCAGCTCTGACTATGAATTTGCAATGGATGCTGTGTGCAAGAGGATCGGAGTCACAGAAAATTGTACGGAGGAAGGATTCCAAAATCAAGTTCTTAGAAAAGGGTGTGAGAATCTTGGTTTGCAAATCGAGTCGGTTCCAAGGAATTCTTCAGAGAATCATTACTGTGGTTCCTGTAATTTTGGGTGTAGAACAGGAGACAAGAAAGGAACTGATTCTACTTGGCTGGTGGATGCTGTGGGCTGCGGTGCGGTGATCCTAACAGCATGCAAAGCTGAGAAGTTTATATTGGTGAATAATAACGATGCAAGGAGAAGAAAGAAATGCCTGGGTGTGATTGCAACATCTTTGAACAAAAATTTGACCAAGAAGCTGTATATTGAAGCTAAAGCAACAATTTCAGCTTGTGGATCTCTCCTGACTCCTCCTTTAATGATTTCTAGCGGGTTAAAAAACCCAAATATTGGCAGGAATCTTCATTTGCATCCAGTGCTATTTACTTGGGGATACTTTCCAGAAGATGCATCAGGAATCAAAGGCAAAGCGTACGAGGGTGGAATCATCACTTCATTTCGTAGGGTTGTTTCAGAAGAATCCAATGTCCATGCAATTATACAAACTCCTGCACTTGGACCGGCCTCAGTCGCAGCATTATCCACATGGGTTTCGGGAAGGGAGCTAAAGGATAAAATGGTGAGGTATCCGAGATTGGCTCACCTTTTCACATTGATCAGAGACCAGGGTTCAGGGGAAGTAATGGAAGAAGGTAAGATCAAGTATCGATTTAGCGAAGTGGATAAAGAAAATCTTAAGATTGGTCTGAGGCAACTACTAAGGATAATGATTGCAGCTGGGGCGGTGGAAGTAGGAACCCAACGTAGTGATGGCCAAAGAATTAAATGCAAAGGTCTTTCAGAGGAAAGCTTGGAGGAGTTCTTGGATAATGTCCCAGTTGTTGGAGGCCCTAGTTCCAAGGATGAGTATTGGACCATGTACGTCTCAGCTCATCAGATGGGAAGTTGTAGAATGGGTGCAAATGAGGCAGAAGGTGGCGTTGATGAGAATGGTCAGAGTTGGGAAGCGGAAGGTTTATTTGTGTGCGATGCAAGTGTCCTGCCAACTGCAATCGGCGTCAATCCAATGGTCACCATACAATCCACGTCCTATTGCATTTCCAAGAAGATTGCAAAATTGTTAAAGCAATGATCCTTTGGTCATCCAACCTTTGTCCAAAGTCTCTTCTGTCTAAACTACTAGAGCCAGTCTGAAAAATGTACCAATTTCCTGTAAAATACATGCACTCTGTACTACAACTACTCGCAAATAAACCATGTATTGTGTCTCAAATACGTTTAACTATTGGTTCTTAAAGCTTTCGTTATGTGATTGCTTCCATTGGCTCACCCACGAAGCCCTGCAATACGTTTAACGTTAATACACATGCAAGCACAGAAATTTCCACACTTAAGTTTTCTCGATGGCTATTTGTTCATTGCAATTTGTTGAAACAAGATTTCACTACACGATCTAAAACGAAAGAAAAGGGTCGTTGGTGACTGGGGAGTGGGTGTAAGGACATGCAAGTAATCAAGAAGACAATGGGCTGATTTCAGACCACGAAAAGCCAATTTCCTGGGACGGTAAAAGTATATTCCTCAACCCCTGCTTTATCACTAACAAGAGTCAATGGGCTTGATTTATAAAAACTCATCAATGTTTGTGAAAGATGATAAGAAACAAGAACAAAAGACCCATATCTTAAATTTCTCAACTGCTTGCTGCTTTAACCGCCTTCTCCGCAGCATCATCCAGATCTTCAGCTGTTATTAGTGTCATTCCACTTTCCTGCACGACCATTGGCAACCACCAAGGAAAACCAAAAAGGCATCAATAATTGCCAAGATATGAGAAAAGTTATGTCCATCAAATTTCCAATTTACCTTCAAAATTCTCTTCCCTTGGTCAACATTTGTACCTTCAAGACGAACCACCACAGGAACTTTGAGGGCAACCTATAACACAAGGTGCAACACAAGTCATTGCCTTTAACAAGGATTATGGATGCAATAAAATTTAGATATTGATAACTTTGAAGTTTGACAAGCAAAAACAACCACAGTTTCTTCTCCCCTTTTTCTTTTTTCTTTTCTTTTTTTTTTCTCTCTCCATTGTTTTATTTAAAAGAAAACCAAACTGTGCTTCATAAATTTCCAACATGCAGTTTGGTTTGTTCTTCATTAGTTTTAAAATGATGATTCATCCATATATATTAAGATTCAATGCTAGTTTGATGCACGAGGAATTGGTCACCAATGTAAATAAAGAACTTGCTCCAAGCAAGTTGAAGAAATTCTATGCAACTCTCACCAGTTTTGCAGCATTGACGATCCCACTTGCAATCACATCACATTTCATTATTCCTCCAAATATGTTCACCAAAATTGCTTTCACTTTGTCATCAGAAGTCAAAATCTTAAATGCCTCAACCACCTGTTCCACATTATCTAAGAATTAAAAGAACAAATACATTTGACAGTGATTATAGCATCAGGTTAGCATCAACAGATACCAAATTTTTCATATAGCAAATCACTGTACATCATGATGAGTGATGCTAGAAATGCATGACCAAAATTACCACATACAGTCATGCGCAGAAGTGTGTGCTCACATGTTCCACACATACAAGCCTCATAACTATTATTAAGACTAATGAAAAGCCAATGTACCAGTGCCAGAAAGTAAGCACACTTGAAAGACCAAAATTACCACAGAAGGCAATTTATATGAAAGTATTAAAAGTAAAAACCATCATTACCTGGCCTTCAGAAGCATTTCCGCCTACATCCAGAAAATTGGCCGGTGTTCCCCCACGCAATTTAATTATATCCATTGTAGCCATTGCTAACCCTGCACCATTCACCATGCAACCAATTTCCCCATCTAAGCCAATGTAATTCAAATCAGCTTTGGCAGCAGCAACCTGAAAAAAGAGAAAATGTAGAATAGGACATGAGTACAAATATTGGACTATCATGTAATTCACTTAAGCTGTATTTTGATTTACAAGAGAACCAAGAATAATCATTTGATGAACATAATAAAAGTGAAAAGGAGACAAATCCATACTTCTCGAGGATCCTCTTGTGATGGATCACGGAGAGCAAATATCTCCTTTTGACGAAAAGCAGCATTATCATCAAAGTTCAACTTTGCATCAGCGGCTACTAATTGGTTGCCAGAAGTCTCAGCAAGAGGATTGATCTGTTGAAGAGAATAAACAACTCACACTAAGATGACCGTTAATTAAAAGAGAAATGCATTTTGCAGTTTGCAAATCAAACTACTAGTAACACATGAGATAGCCAGACAAAGAAACTCATACTCACTTCCAACAATGTGCAATCACGTTCACAGAAAAGCTTATATAGTTTCTTCACTTGTTCAATAGACTCATTCCTATCAGCAACCTTTGGAGCCAAACCATCCACAACCTTGGCAGCATCTTCATCAGTAATTCCTTTGAAAACATCAATAGGTACCTATCAAAAATAGAAGATAAATCAGTTGCATATCCATATCATGATCACCGTGGAAAGGAGAGACTACCTTATTGGTTATACTAAAACATCAGAAAACAAGATGATTATAACCTTAATAATCATGTCAGGATATTTCTCTGCAAGGTCTTCAATGCTGGTTCCTCCCTTGCTACAGGCAATTATAAGCTGAGAAACAGAAAAAAAATAGTGAAATTACGCACCTTTGGCTTTATGAGAAATCAATTACAGTTGCAAACAGTAATGGGGTAAACAAGAAAAAAGTTGTTTCCAGCAAGCACAAATATGACCTACACAGATTTGAGACATACCGGACCAGCAGTTTTACGATCCAAAGTGATAGCAAAGTACATCTCATTGACAAGTGACAACTTTTCACAGAGGTAAACCTGTAAAAGAAAATGTAGTAGATATTCAAACAATTACTGGATCCAAGCCCCAAAGTTTAATTGAAACTGACTGCATAGAATGATTAAAATATAAATTCCACACCAAAAAAATGATGGGTGCCAAACCTTGCTGACAATTTTGCCTTGGGGGCCAGTTTGTTTGGTAACAAGTATCTGCCCAAGCATCTTGGCTGCATGCAATTAAAATAAAGCACCTATTATAAAACAACTAAAGAAAGATATAAAACAACTAAAGAAAGATCTTCATATAGAAAAGGGAAAAAGAAAAAGCAAGGTAATTAAATGCTAAATAGCATACAAGCATCTCAATCTTTAGTAAGAGCACGTCTTGACAATACACAGACAAAGTCAAATACACATGTATAACTTCGAACATCATATTTGGCACAGATAAATGAAAAACTCCAGAACAATACTCGTACATAAATGTATTTTGCAATGTGTAATACAGTCTATTTTTTTCAGTACCAGCTACATCTTCAACCTGGTCAGCCTTGACAATGTGAACTCCACCCTTGAAACCATTTTGGAAAGTTCCCAAGCCTCTTCCACCAGCCAAAATTTGACTTTTAACCACCAGCTGCGCCATAATCAAAGTTATCAATACCCTTACTATTCAATCACTTCATATCCAAATGTCATCAAATATTTTTCAAAGTCCAATTTCTCATAGTTAAGAACACAAACAAATAACTCTATTGTGCTTAACAAAATCAACAATCAGGATAATAAACATAAAAAAAATCCATTGCATAAATTGAAGAAGTTACCTCATTTTCATTTGGGAAGCTAGACTTGACTGCTTCTTTAACTTCATCAACAGAAGAAACAGCAACTCCTTTTGGCACGTTAATTCCGTATTTGCTCATCAACTCAGCCCCCTGATTTTAAAATAACCAAAATTACGTCTACCTCCGGGACGCTCAAATGAAATTTTTATTTCCAAACAGACGCACAGATCCATAAAAACCAGCAAAATGCAATAAACTCAAAAGTTCAATTTTCAAACAGAAAAAAAAGGAAAAACAAAACCGTCAACTACGTAAAAATAATTTCATAGGAACCAAACAGGAACTAAAATCAGTATAAATTATAGATCACTAATCAAGTATTCTTTTGGAAATCAAAGTTTCCGTCTTTCACAGAAATAATTTAAAAAATAATGGCAAGTAAGGAATAAAATACATAAAAGAAAAAAGTGATAAACAAATAAACCTGATATTCGTGGATGTTGAGACGACGGAGCTGCTGTTGCTGCCATTTGCCGGCGACGGAGAGGGAGCGGGAGACGAGCTTGTTCACTAATCCTCTCATTTTGTTCTTCGTTCCCTATTAAGAGAAGATTAATGATCAACGAAGGGCTAAACCGAAACCTGCAGCAAACCCTAGAAAAATCAATGAGAAAAAGAGAAAGATCCTGCCGCAGTAAGGGAAAAAGCGAGCGGGGTTAGAGAAAAAGTAAGACCCCACCCTAGAATTGTTTTATTTGGGGTTAAATATAAAATGGAAATTATTAAATACACTAATTTTTTACTCTACAAATCTAATATATCTAATATATATGTTTATAATAGTATATACAAATAAGTTTGTTACGTAATAAAATAATTTTTTTAATAATTTTTTAAAAGAATAAAATAATTTCTTTTAATTATATATTAGATAATTTTAAATTTATTAAAATATTAAAATTATTTAAATTATAATTGAAAATCAAATCAATTTAGAGGTATATATTTTAAAATTAAAAATATGAAACATAGATTTTTTTAATAAATAACTTTAGTTGTTTACCAAATAATTTTATTTAAAAAATTATTTAATTATCAAAATCTTTCAAGTATATTTAAAAATTATAAAGATTAAATTAATCAAAATCTTTTAACAATCTTTTGTATCTTGATTTAAAAATTTATCTTTTTAAAAAATTTAAGTAAGACATTAAAAATTCAAATAATTTTAGGTAAATTTTTGAAAATTCAAACAATTTTTATCTTAAATCTTTAAATAATAAGATTATCAAAATGATTATATCCATTTAAACTCTAATTATTAAATTTATATTTTAAATAAATGTAAAATTTTAATATTATCTTTATCACTTATTGTATTCATTTTAAATTTTAAAAAATTAATTTAAAATTATCTATTTAATCCTAATTGTCATTAAAAACTTCTTCTATAAATTATACATCAATTTTTTTATTTTTTTAGTAACTTTTTCTAATCTATATTTTATTACTATTGCAATTTATTTTTTTATTTATAAATTTTTTAAAAATATATTTTATTGTTATTACAGTTTCATTTTTATAAAAAATAATTTTTTCAATTTATTTATTTTTCACATATTTTCATATATTTTTCATATTTTGTATAATAATTTAGTCAATATTTCTAAAGTGAAAATATGTTAATACTTATTTTATTATTTAATTTATCATTCAATAATATATATTTTTATTTTTCTTAAAAAAACATAATTTATTTATATTTAATATAATTTTACATATGTATAAATATTATTGTAACTAAAAATATCCAAAGGAAATACATAATTTTTTTATTGTTTTCAAAAAGTTTGTTTTTTTAATGACAAATCAATATATATAAATTTTATATATATTATAAATTTTAAAGACTTGAATATAGTTAAAAAAAAACTAAATTGTATATATATATATACATTAAATAAATAAAATTATTTTGTGCATAGCACGGGTTATAATTTAGTGAGATTAAGATAATAATTTAAGTTTTTTAGTATATATTTAAATTTTTAAAAAATAATTTTAAAAAATGAGACATGTGTTATAGTCTTAATTTTTCTTGTAAAATTAAAGAATTTTACCATTAGTGTATCATATAATTTTTCATATAATAACGGCTTTTATATTATATAATTTATATTAATTTGATACTTAATAAAATAAAATTTTTAATTGGATATTTTAACTTTTATTTGGTTATTCAGGTTGATATCTAAGACTAATGTGTTTAGTAACTTACTAATGTAATATGAATTCTAATAAAATACTAATATATATCAAAAAAATTTAATTAATGTTATATTATCAATTATCGTGTCAACATTAAAAAAATTTCAAAAAAATTTAACAAATTTTAAAAATTATAACAATTAAAATCATGTGAAATATTTTTAAAATTTATAAAATTATGAAAACTTAAAAAATTCAAAAAATCTTAAAAATTTAATAAAAAGAAACTAAAAAGATTCTAAAATTTTCAAATATATTTTAAAAAAAAATCTATCAAAATCTTGGTAGTATTTTTTTCATTTTTCTTTTCTCTGGCAATTTGTAAGCCAAGTTTACGAAAAAATGTTTAAATGTTGATCATAAAATATATCAATTATTACATTATAATTAATTAATTAAATTTAAAATTACATAAACTTTATCAAAATTTTATATAAAACTCACATTTTTAAATAATAGATTCTTATATAATTCTTTAATGTTATTAAACAATTATAATGTTGTAATAAAAATGATTAAATTTCATTAAAGTCCTTTAGCTGTAAGTATAATTTAACGTAAATTCATAGTTTTAAAAATGGACAATCCACTCCAATTTCTTATGCAATTACAAAACTACCATTCAAAATTTATTATATATATACATATTATTCTTTATTTTATATATCTATTCAAATGTAATAACAAAAATTTTTTGTATTTAAATATTATAACTTTTTAATTTGGATTTACTTATTATAAATAATATTTAATTACTTATTATCAATCATTTTTAATTTAAAATAAATAAATTTGTCACTATATTTTCACATACATATAGATTTAAGCTTAGAATATATATAAGTTTTATAATAACTAAAATCGAATTAACATATATTCAATTCTGAATTTTTTTTTTTTTCAATCATCCTTTTTCATATTTTATCTTTCATTTATTTAATTGTTACACGTTAAAATAATATTTTATGTTTAATATATTTATTTTATTATAGATATATTTATATATTAGCATATTTATAAATGTAAATTTTATTTTTATATATTGTATTTAATTTTTTTATTATTAACAGATTTGATATATTTTAAATAAATAAAAAGATTATTATTATAAAATATTATTTTATGTGAGCATTTTAAGATATCTTTAAATGAGACTTTTAACATGAAAAGATCTAATTATCATGTAAAATTAAAAAATTTGAGATAAATTATCTAATTTTCAAATTAATAAACTTTATTAAATTATATTCAAAATTCAAAGACTTGAGTAAAATTTACCGTAAAAAATTATAGGCAAAATGCATTCGGTAACCAGCGTGTTCCTTCAAAATAGTTATGTGACATTGGAAAGTCTAACCTACGGAAATGTTCCATTTTCTGGCAGTGCACCATTACAGAAGAATATTTGCCTAAAAACACAAGAAAGCATGCAAAGAGATGGCATATTCTTCAGTAAAGTGAAGCAAAGTTGATTTAGTTTCTGACGCATATCAAGAATATGAACCTTGATCTTCATTTTTCACGTGCTGTTATTTCACTTTCACATTTAACTGGCAGAGATCTTCCCCTCAACAACATGAGGTTTAACATTTGAAATCATCCTTGAGTTTTATGGGGACCAATGTATAAACTTATAAACTTCTATGGGGGACACTTGTGTCCTGGAAATTCTACTTGGATTCTAATGAAGTTCCCCTGCCCTGGATTGAATTGCAATGTTTCCTCTCGCACCAAAACAAAAACAAGAACATACGCAGCTATTTATGGACTTTGAGGAAGGAAAGTTGCTGATATAAATGATTCAGCTAAGTGGATGAATTAACTTAAAACCAAAAAGAGGGAAAACAAAAGACCTATTGCAGAAACATCAACCGAAATTCAACAATGTATGGAGGTTATTTACAAATGCACTCGTCCAGAAGGTGATAGAAGTAAATTCTCAACAAAAATACATTAATTGGTCTCAAGAAAGATGATTCATTACTTGTTCATGTTTTCCCCGAGTCAATTTCTGCTTTTCACAGCATGGTGTTAGATCTGCATTTGAGCATAGGTGTCCATTATGTTCAGCAAGCTAGGGGATTACCTGCATTGAAGCATAGGAAATCCCCGGTCAGAAGGATTACACATCATTATACCAAAGGAAAAACAGAACCAAAATGATCAAGAACAAATTATGAGGAATAAACATAGTCTTGACTGTAGGTGCGGATTGTTTAACACATACACACTTAATAAGGTCGATATATGGCTGCCTTGTCAATCCATGAAGGCTTCTTTGCATTATAGTAGAAACAAGCAATCATTTGGACCAATTCATCAGCTGTGCGAAACTCTGCAAAGACACTCATTAAATTGTAACATCAGATGAAAGGAGTTCACATCAATTTGACAGACCAATATTTTTTATAACTCCTACAAGCAAAACTGTACAACCTACCTTTCTCCCTGTACACAAACTGGTTTCCACGTAAAAATAAAATCTGGGGGCATTCCCTGACTTTAAGAGCATAAGCTAAATCTCTCTCAATATTGATATCCAGTTTCACTGCCTGTTTCCAGGAATATTTCAAGGCATTATTATTGGCAGATAAACAAGGCAAAACAATTTGAGGAAATTTCAACCTTTCCCTAACAAAGTAGAACACACTCAGATTTCTCAAGCAACCACATGCAGTGAGTGATTTATACATGAACTGAACCTTATGGAAACTTATGTGCAACCAAGTCGGTGAGCATAATTTATATTTTGCCAACATAGTATTTTCAGATAAAAGACAAAACACAGATTTATACCCGAGGAGGTAATCGGTCCTTGGCATTCCAATATATCTGGATCGCCTTCTCCAGCTCCTTCAAAGTCTTCCAATTGTGAGTTGCCCTGTTGACAAAATCAAATGGATGTTTTTCCTTATAAAATGTTAGATATAAAAATTAAATATATTCTTTATGTTACAGATGTTTGAAAGGTATACTCCTCTATAATAGGTGCAAACATGTAAGAACATAATATAATTAGCAATTAAACATCATGCATCAGAAGGAAGTACCAAAACGCATCTTGAGGAACTTTATCGTCTTAATGCTCTCGCTAACCAGAGGCAAAATTAATTGGCAAAATGCATACATAAACACTACATAAGTCTGAAATTCTTTGTCATGTGCCTCAGTATTCCAAAAACTGGAGAAAAAATCATTTGAAAGAGACAGACAGTAACAAAATAAATTCGAGAGGAAAGGGTTACCTGTTGTATCTCTCAAATACAAGAACAATTAGCGGGCTTGGATGGAAAGCAAAGCTCTCCCACTCCAGACAGTTAATCTCCTTTACCCAGCTATCATCAATCTCTCCTTCCCAGTCAATCTCAAAACCATCTTCGCCAACTACATTCTTAATTGAGTGCTGCTCAAAGTACTCCGATGCCCTGATTCCCCAACCAACATCAGCATCCAAAGGCCAATCTGGATCGTCCTCTTCCACTACCATCTTCTTTCCTCTTCTACCAGCAACCTCACTATCCTCCTCCTCCTCCTCATCCTCATCACTGCTACTGTCAGAATCAAACTCATTTTCAAGTCTATCCTTCATCACATTTTCGTTATTCTCAAAAGCTTCTGGACTCTGCCACCGGATTGATTCAAATGTCTTTTCAAGTGAGTCACGAATAAAATCTTCAACAGCTACGGCTTCACTCCTACGACCACGTCTTGGCTTCTTAGGAATGGTTGTTGGGAAGCTTTTATCAGGAATTTCATCTTTGTTACGGGAAACAACATACTTTTTGTTATGGCTTCCTGTTTCAGCTTTAGATTTAGGGTTCAAAAAAGCTTCAGCATCAGGGTCATGGTCAGGCTTCGAATCTGATTTGCTTGAAATAGCAAAGCAAGGGAAAGTTTTTAAAGCGCGGCTATGGTGTAAACTAGATGGCAAGCATTGGAATGACTGACTAAGAGTACTAGGAGTAAAATTAGAAATAGGTAGCAAGGTGCAGGAATTATGATCAATGTTTACTACAAGACGAGGCGAAAAGGATTTCGGAGCAATTCCAACATGAAGGGATAACATTTTCTTAACAACCAAGTAATTTCAAGCAATAGAAGATATAATTTGGCAAAGGAATATAGAAACAATCCTAACCAAGTAACAATGATAGCAGAGTCTGTTTCCCAAATTTTGCTTCCAATTTGTTGACCCTTTTAATAATTATAATCAACCATGAAATCCCAAAATGCCCAAAACTTAAGCTGAGATAGTAGACTCTTTGCAATAGAAGCCTGTCACAATATAAGTAAAGGAAATAAGTAATGAGCAATTCATCATAAACTAATTGCTTAACTTTTTAAACACAACAATCATCCGGCATGCTTATATGAAAATCATTTGTTTACCCATTTATAGATACAATAATTCTCATTTTAATGAATATATCTAATGAAATTTTAACTTCAAAAGAGGAAAAAAAAAAAAAAGAGAGTCGGAAACTTGGCAAGAGTTAATAGCAGTAGATAAACGTTTAGAAATTTTTCGTTAAATGGAAAACTTAGAGTACCTCGGAGAGGGTTGGCGTTAGGAGTTGATGGATTTGAAACACTCCAATTCATCAACCTGAAAATGGAGAAATAAGGATGAGCATAGCACACCTTTAGCAAAACCCAGAATCTCGCGGCCCTTTTCTTATCCAAGTTCAACGGTGCCGTTTTGTTCTGCGAAAAGGACAAGTCTACTTTTCCTATGGTTATTATTTTATTTTATTTTTATTATTAGCCTAAACGAAAAGAAGTGGTTTCCAAGGAGCCTCTCCACGGTCTTTAAATCGGATATTTTCTTATCTAAATCACTGATAATATTTTATTCAAATTCAATCGTTGCATTAATACTTGAAGAGCAGTATTTTTTTTCTATGAACAGTAAAATAAATCTTGAATCCCAAACAAATTCTGTCGCAATAAATCAAAATCACTTAAATATTAGCAACTTTTATCCATCAAAATTCCCAATAAAATTTCCAAACCAGCTATTAGCCATCAGCAAACACCAAATCCCCTTAATCAGCTGAAACTTTTAAGAAATTTTTGGATCCGACACCGGACTTAGCTAGAATCTCTAAAACGCTAAACTGCGAGAAAAGATAAAAAAAAAAAAAAAAAAAAAGTCTCCGCTCAGATCGAGATTTTGAGGCCGACGATGGTACGGCCACCCTTGAAACGGCAGAAACGGAAGAGGGGAGAGAAAGAAAAAGGGCCAGGAAGAAGAAACGAGTGGCATAGATATGAATAATAACAACCTTTGTTAGTTTATTGGATTAGGGTTAGGGTTACTAAGAGGAGAAAAAAAAGGGCAATTTTAAATAAAATTAACAATAATTAATAATGTCCTCTCCTCATGGCTCATAGTTAATAGTTAGGATCCTTTTATTATATTTAGGTCTGACAATACGTCCCACAGCCACAGAATCGCCAAGCCGCAATGCCGGTCCCTTTGCTTTTTGGCTAAAGCCGGTCCATTTTCCCGGTTCAAATAAAAAAGTTTCAAGATTTTTATTGCACCGAGCTTTTTTGTTTTTATTCGAATTTAGAATTTTTCTAAATTACGGATAAAAGACAAAGTCAGAATCAGTTACTACTATTGCTTTGAATTAAAACTTTAAAAGTATCGCACTAATTTGATTCAAGTTTAAAAAATAAGTGAGTCAATTTTTATTTTTACTTCATTTCTCAGTGGGGTAGCGGGCTGATTGATAAAACTTAAAAGTAGCAAACACCTAAAAGCATTTAAATTCAAATTCAAATTTCAAAGGTTGATCAACCATGGGTGGCCATATGTCCAATGAGGTAAATTCTGGGTAAAGAAAATCTTAAATATATGGTAAAACTATTAGGCTTTTTTTTTTTAAGAAAAGAACTATTAGGATTGTTAATTATTCAACTTTAAATTAATTGATAATAGATAAAAAATTTTAATTTAAATATAAAGTCATAAAAATTTAAATTCAAGAATTAACATATGTAAAATAATATTATTTTAACATATAAACCATGTGTAAACATAATTATCACATGACAAATTTAAATATATAAAACAAAATTATAAATTAAAATCTGAATGTTGATATAATTTTAAGTATATAATTTAAAATCAATTGATTATATATATATAAATTTAAAAAAAAAAAAAAAAAAACTTGAATACACTAGGTGGAGGGTTCAATCTTAAAACCAATAAGTGAAGGGGTCAAATTTAATATAAACCAAAAAAAAAAAAAAACTCAAGATTTAAATAACACCAATTTCACAAATATATAAAAATAAAGAGATAAATTAAAATGGACTCTAGTATGTGTATGCTTTTTGTTTTTTAAACATAAAAAGTAAATAATTTCATCCGCTTGACTTTTTCCTTTTTTGAGATGTACAATGTATGCACATATATTGACTTAGTAGTTCGTCAAATTAAGAATTGAAACTTATTTAATCAGCTATGAAACAATGTTCATCTTAACCAATAGAATCGACCTTACAATTAATAAAGTCAATCCCATTACTCCAGAATAGACAGCTACAAAAATTGTTGGCCTTCTTCAGTCGTTTCCATTAAAAAAAAAAATGGCGAAAGCTTTGAATAAGGGATATCCACGGGTTCTCAGCCAACTTGTTAGTAATAACCCATGTTTCTTTTCAATGTGTTCCTACGGTTTTCTTTTTTAATCTAACACTTTTTTGCATTTCATGAACTGCAGTTTGGCAAATCAAAACACCGACTTAATTTGCAAACTCAAATCAACCGTTAAAAAAAACACCAATTTTGTTCTATCAAAGGAGACAATCTGTTATCTATATATACCAACGACATTGCTCTGTTCTTATTTGACTTTTTTAGTAACCTAACAACATTATCAAAAGTATTGGAAAGCATTGCAGAAATTTTCATTTGTATTATTCAGTTCATACACATCAAATGTACAGGCATGAATGCATGCATCTAGCATGCATACCTTCAACAACAATAAAACAAAACTATGGGGCTAAGGCTACGTACTCCACAGAGAACTTCTTCAGTAGAAAGACGGAGAAGAAGATAAGATACGCTCTCCAGAAAAGGTTTTTCTTTTCCTTTTATCGTTTTCATTCTTTTTCTTTCTGGTCTGCTGCTTTAAATGTGAAGGAAAACGATGCCCAATGAGGTGTCTCCACGTGTGAGAAAACAACCTCACATATGTAAGAAACGAGCGAGCTGGCTCGGGTTGACAATGCCCGGTATGTGGGCCCCATCTGTCTTCAGTAGGCTTGCCACTTCCACGTACCTTTGATGCTTCGCCTCCCTCGGCTTTGGCTCGGGGTCGCGTGCTCCGGATCTCTCGCTTGGCTCGGCATCTTCTCTAACTCCCCTCCCGGATTCGGCGGCCGTTTGTTGCTGTCGGGCCGGGTCCCACGGTTGGCCGAACAGTGTCCCACAAGTGAGGAACTCGTGGGCCAGGTATCCAGCTAGGAGCTGGTTTGAGAGAAACGGTTGGGAGGCTTTTTCAGAACCGGCTAAGGGGACAGCCGGCTTGGGTAATTTTGTGGCTGAAGGGGTTAGGTGTTTGAGGTCAAAATTGTCTCTTTCTTTTCGCTTGTTGTTGGGCATGGTAACCCGACGGGGAGGGAGGCGCATCGTTTTGGTGTTCATTGTTGCGCCTTTTTTGGTGCATGCCACGTCGGCACAAAATATCTATTATAAATAAAAAATAAATCCCCCGAGAGATAAAACAGGGGACCCCATATTTTTCAAATTTTTTAAGAAATGGGGTTGTTTGGCTAAAATAATGAGCGGTAAAAAGGTAAAACAGTTAAAAGTAATATTTAAGAAGAGAAGGGGTAAAGACAGAGAGACGGAGGGTAAAAAAAAAGTTAAAAATAAAGTTTCAAAAAGGCAGCGACCGGAATCTGGCTTCTAAATTGCCGCTTGAAAGTGATTTATAAATACGAGAGAAGAAATGAGGTAGAAAAAAAGGATGAATGAGAGAGAAATTTTTTAGAGAAAAAAAAATGAATGGTACAAGGAGAATGAAACAATGGTGGGTTTGTAGGTATTTATAGAGAAGGGTTTAAGAATTGGCCCCTGCGGAAGGACAAAATTACGGGGATTGCCACAAAACATTGAATGACGAAAGTACCCCCATTCTTTATCTCATGATTTTTATGTTTTTATCACTTCTGTCTTTTGACGGATTAACCATGCCAAGAAGTCACCCATCTTTGGAAAAGCAAAAATAAAAATGGTGGGGCAAGAATGAATATTCTTCTTTAGCCACAAGGAATAGGATCCATGGGCTTTTGCCTAATTTCTTTTATTATTTTTTTTAGTAATAATAGTTTTTTTATTTGATAATTAAGAAATTTGTATTGTATTTATTTTAAATTAAATATGTATAAATTATAAAAATTATCATATCATAATTTATTTTAATATATCAAACATAAAATATAATTTTTTATTTTTATTAAATTCATATACTATTTTTGTTAAACTTTTATGTTTTTTTTATATTATTTTCATATTATATTTAAATTATCAAATATAACTTCCTTATTGCATGCTCTACATCTAATATTTATGAGGTTTTTTTTTTTTTTTTGACTGATGGAAATACATATAAATGATACATTTTAATTGCAAAGTATAAATGGAATTTCATAATTTTTACATGTTTGATTAGAATCCCAAAATACAAATCATGTAAAGATTATGAAATTTTATAACGAGTCAAATTCAAATTCAATAATTGTTTTGTAAAAAATAATTATAAGATCTATACCTTAATATAAAAGTTGTTCTTTGTTTGTATTAAAGGGGATAACTCAACAATATAAAAAAAAATAAAATTGAGGGTAATTTTGGGTGATTTTTGTTTCTAGAAAGTTCAAAGAAAAGACTTTCGCAAAGATCAAAGACCTATAGAAAAAAAAACCTAAAGTTTGGCTAACCATTTTCTTTTCTTGCTTCTCTTTTATTTATTCTCTTCTCTTTGTTCTTATTTTTTCGTTGGTCAAATCTTTGCCCGAACAATCCAAACCTTTCAATATTCAGCCAAAACTTTCTCTTTTTGTTGGTTTTTTATTTTTTTTTTTTTTGCTGGGTTCCTCACAAATTATAAGGATTGTGATTTTTTATTTTTTTTGTGTTTTTTGGTGATGCTTTGTAAATTGGAGTATTCCGAGTATTTTGAAGACCAAAAAATCAGTCTCGACTGGGTGCATGCATTTTAATTGGCATGAGTTTCAACATTGGTGGAGAGAGACGATCAGAAAAATCAAAAGAAAAGGAAAAGAAATGAGAAGGGTTGTCCAATTGGTAATTTTCCCATATCCATGCTCTATTTTACACAAATTATTGACTAATAATTTTGATGTAATTCTATAAATGTCATGGTTTATTTTTCTAATGATATTAATGGTAATCGTAACGATAATAAAATCAAACTGAAATTAATGTAATATATCTTAGTGAGTTTATCACTTGATTATAATTTTTTTTTACCTCTATTTTTAATAATGTCAAGAAATTACTTTATATTTCCTTTTGCCTTTTCCCTTTTATCATCAAATTTATGGTATTATTGAAAGATTTAATTCAAGTGTTAGATTTTGGGCTAGGTGCTTATTATGGTGAAGAAGCGGTAACAAATGCATATAACTTGGCTACATTAAAGTACTAGGGATATGATAGTATCCTTAATTTCCCAATAAATTTGAACATTGGATTTTCTTTGATTTTTTTTTTGGAAAGTTATATTTCTTTTTTATTCATTTTATTAGATTTGATTTATTTGGTATTGAAGCTATTGAATCATAAGATTTTTATATTTTGGTCTAAACACTTAATTTTTTGTTTATTACTTCGATAAACACTTAATTTTTCATTTATTATTTAGTTCATTTTAGTTATCAACTTATCAAAATGAATTCAATGAAATGAAAGGTTAATCAAAAGAATAATATATTGGGCATTTGAGGAGGTAATACTCAATAGCAACACTTATACCTTTTTTATTTTTTAATTCATTTATTTTTGGATTTAATTTACAAAAAAAGTTGTGAATTTTCTCATCGAATTTCAAAGTATAAAGGTGTAGCCAGGTGAGAAATGTTGCAGTTTTTTTTTATTATTATCATGGCATTTCAATTTGAGTATACTAATAGAATGGAATGTATAACCAAAATATGCTTATTTGAAAGTAATGGTAAGCAATAAAAAGATGTGTTTAGTAATGTTTTCTTATGTCTTTATAAAATTCAACATTTTGAGGGAACAAAAATATTTAATAGAGTCATATGTAAAATATATCATATGCTACGATTTTGAAAGAAAGTTTTGATAGTTTCGTACTTAGTATGTGTGATCACAGGCTAGTACAAACAATAACAATTGGAGCTTCAAGTTTCTTGAGATTGCTAAGGACTTGCCTACCATTAATAAGTTCAAAAACTACATCTGTCCCCGATTTTGTATTGGCATATGTGGCAGTAATGATTGTTGTTAGACATGTTGTTTAGTTCATAATGCTATTATAAAACATTTTTATTTTAATGACTTCAAACACTTATTATATCGGCACAATGATAAAGTGCTTCCAAGTCAAATAAGATGGTTCCATCGCCCTTGACTAGGTCTTTGGCTAATAGCATCGCTTTTTTCCTGATTCTCCTATCCTCATTTTATTGGTAACATAAAATTAACCATATTTTAAAAAATATTGGTATAAATAAATTGTGTTAATCCAAGAAGCTTTGACTTTTTTTTGGTAGCCAGGTTTGATTATAGAAAGCCAAGATTCATATGTAAGATATATATGCTAACTAAAACAAAAAGTAAAAGGTGGTGCATTGTGGTTTTTAATAGTCAAAATTATGGAGATAGTCCAGTTTTCACTCATTAGGTAATAAAAACCCTTCCCTTTACTTTTCATTTTTTGCTGCTTGATTTTCAATATTTTTAATAAGAAAAGTTTTCGGATATTAGGTTTTTTAAAATTATTTTAAAGAAAAAAAATGTTGATTTTATTATTGGAATAACATTGATATATTACATGTGTAGTTATACTCAACTTCGTTTCTAAGAGACACGCGTGAATAAGTGAAACATGTTGGTGCTGAATACCCAAAAGCTAATTTGCATGCTATTTGTTGGTCTCTTTGTGCAAATATTCTTTTGATATCTTGGTCAAGTAAAATAATAGTATAACTGTCCTTTCTTTTTTTTGTGGTGAAACTTTGTACCTTAGTTGGTTAGTTTTGATGTCATCGGTAGAAATGTGTTTGTTTATTTGTTGTGAAAAATTTATGTTTTCTTCCTATTGTGAAGTTAATTTGAAATTGTTCACTAATTTATCTTTATTTTTTTTATTTCATGTATTTGTGTTTCATTAGGGCAATTGCACTTCCTCTAAGTAATTTTCATCTATGGAGTTTATTCATTTCATTGATTTGAGAAAATATTTTTACATTAACTTGAGATAAGGGAAAAATTATTGATGATTCATGATTGAGCATTTCATTATAACTTTGAAATGGAATCCATTTAAAATTTCAACTTTTCTATCAGGGTAAAGTTTTATAATGATAGATTATAATTAGTTTACGGTTTACCCTAATGTTTGGTAGGTAAATATGCCTTGAATAGTTATTTTTAATATATTTTGTTGCTGACCTATTCTAAGTTCACTGTTTTGGAAGAAAAATTTTTTGTACTCTTTATTTTTAATGTTAGATCTTTTTTTGGTTTTGATTCTACTTCATTTTCTCCATTTTATCACAGCAATGTTTCCATTTTATTTGTCATTTAACCGTATTCCACTTGCAGAAATTTCATACTTGTTTTTTTTCTAGTGCTATGTCATTGTATAATCCTTTCAATTTGGTCATTGCTAATGAAGACTTCCACAAGGGTTTTAATAATTATTATGAAAAACTTTTTGCTAGAGCCATCTGTAAAATATTTCAAAAATAATCTTCTTATAAGATGCTTTTATTTAAGTACTACTTTTATCAACTTGGTATCACAATTTTTAAGATTTCACTTGAATGTCATGTGTTCTATAAGCATGCTTTCCTATTTGAAGATATGGAGGTGAATTTAATATTTCTTCAGCTGTTAAAGCAAAATTTATCAGGGATTTTGATAAAGGATTAACACAGGGCTTACTTTTAACTGTGATATTCATTTTGAAAAGAGAAGGGGGCGAGATTGGGGTAGGAGGTAAGGTTTACAATGAAACATTATTTGCTTATAAACCTTTCTATGTTGCATTGTAGTTTCATTTGGTTTCAAGTCAGCAGGTGAGTACTATTCTAATTTAAGTAGTTTTCATTCCATAAAACATGTTCAAAGACCATTGCTTTGCATCCATATGATATATTTGTGCCAATTTTGAAAATATGTTTCTTGAATTTCTTAGCTACTATTATACTATTCAATATCATCTTTATGATGTTTCTATCTTATATGACATGTATTAAACTTTGACTATTGGCATTAACAGATTATTTTGCTAAAATAAAAGAACACAAAACTATTGTTATGTTTACTCTTAATGAATGCATTAAACTATTCAATACTTTTTTAATAAATAATTAAAATTTGAATCTAAATTGCTATGTTTTCTCTTAACTAATACAAATTTTCAGCATTATTTTTCTTAAAGTGAATGAACATGCTTCACCTGGTTGACCCTTATGTGACTTATGAGCATCTTTTACTTTTATGCTTTTTTGCTTTCTTTTTTAATATTTTATATACTTGCAATGTCTTATTCGTAAGTAATATATGTTTCTAGATACCTTAATCTTGAGAATGTAAGGGAATTGATTTACAATAAGGTTATGAGAAGTTGAACAAGCAAAGAGTTACTTTAATTGATAATTCAATTGATGAGTAAGTCTGCATCTTTTGCATTTACAAAGTTTTATGTTATGCTGAACATTTACTAAGCACACTTTTTTTGTGCTGAACATTTAAAAACCCTAAATCCAATTCTGGAAACAACCAAC